ATGTAAAAAGTCTCTGAGTTATTAAATATAAAAGTTGTTCCAAAACAGAGATGTAAAAAGTCTCCGAGTTGTTAAATATAAAAGTTGTTCCAAAACAGAGATGTAAAAAGTCTCTGAGTGGTTAAATATAAAAGTTGTTCAGTTTAGTGGTTCCCACAAATGAGACTTTCTTGGTCTTTAAAAAGACCGATTTGTCCTTTGGCCGCTGCTCGTGAACCATCATCTTTGGCCATCTTCGATTTTGATTAAATGGAAATCTTCAATTAAATTCTTCATCTCGATACGGACCCTCTTGCTTGGTGGTTGGGAGATAACTCCCCGATGAACGCCTCAGGGGGCTCTTATATCCTAGGAGCACGGACCCTCACGAGTGACCGAGCGACATCTGTGCAATTTTGATACACGAATTGTTAACGAATTGTCCCCCAACATAAAATTAAAGAATTATTATTTCAATAATGGCATACTTATAGGTATATATAAAGCATTTCTACATATTCTCCATCGAAACGCGCGTTGTTTGCAACTTGAAACATTAAGATCCTTCAATCCGTTCAGAAGTTATAATGTTTTAACCATACGCATGAAATTTCGAGCGAACATTTCTGCATCTTTAAAACATTATAACTTTTGAACGGATTGAAGGATCTTAATGTTTCAAGTTGCAAACAACGCGTATTTTGATGGAGAATATATAGAAATTGAATATTGAACAAATCAGAGACTGAACATCTCTGTTATGGAACAACTTTTATATTTAACAATTCACAGTCACTTTACATCTCTGTTTTGTAACAACTTTTATATTTAACAATTCACAGTCACTTTACATCTCTGTTTTGTAACAACTTTTATATTTAACAATTCACAGTCACTTTACATCTCTGTTTTGTAACAACTTTTATATTTAACAACTCAGAGACACTTTACATCTCTGTTATGGCACAAGTTATGCAATAAAACTGAACATGGTATATTTGCCTATATGTATAGGAAGGAAATTCGTCGTTAGTATTGTCGCCCGTCAATGCACTTAATTATGCAAGATCAGTATACTATCTAATTTTATTTAATCAAAACTAATGGTACTGCATTGCACTTTATCAAATCGTCAAAAAAATCCGATACTCGTTGAGCGTATTTATCGTAATCACCGCCAAAAACACAATTGCACTTGTACGAATTATATATTTGACAGCTAAATAACTAAATACCTATCACATGGCTCGAATTATTCCAAATAACGATCTGAACGATTGTTTATGAAAGTTGTTAAACCTGGAATACCCATTTTGAAACCTATTTATTAATTTACACTTTTCTTAATGTTTCATATCACAAACTAAGTTCGTTATGCGTATATCAATATTAGTTATTATGCATTTATACATAGGTTGCATGTAACAGGTACTTACACAAATTTTGTGTCTTTCGTTGTTTTATTTGAATCAAAAGTTTGTTAAATATTATACTTTGACTACTTGGATAAATCAAAGAAATACAAGAGCTGTGCATAATGTTTTTGCATTGATCTTTACGATATTACAAACCGGTATAATGAAAAATAAAATTAGATAGTATACTGATCTTGCATAATTAAGTGCATTGACGGGCGACAATACTAACGACGAATTTCTTTCCTATACATATAGGCAAATATACCATGTTCAGTTTTATTGCATAACTTGTGCCATAACAGAGATGTAAAGTGTCTCTGAGTTGTTAAATATAAAAGTTGTTACAAAACAGAGATGTAAAGTGTCTCTGAGTTGTTAAATATAAAAGTTGTTACAAAACAGAGATGTAAAGTGTCTCTGAGTTGTTAAATATAAAAGTTGTTACAAAACAGAGATGTAAAGTGTCTCTGAGTTGTTAAATATAAAAGTTGTTAGAAAACAGAGATGTAAAGTGTCTCTGAATTGTTAAATATAAAACTTGTTACAAAACAGAGATGTAAAGTGTCTCTGAGTTGTTAAATATAAAAGTTGTTCAGTTTAGTTGTTCAGTTTTGGTATTGAGTTTTGGTGTTCAGTTTTGGTGTTCAGTTTTGGTGTTCAGTTTTGGTGTTGTTCCCAAATATGAGATTTTCTTGGTCTTTAAAAAGACCGGTTTGTCCCTTGGCCGCTGCTCGTGAACCATCTTCTTGGCCGCCATCTTCGATTTTGATTGAATGGAAATCTTCAATTAAATTCTTCATCTCGATACGGTCCGTCTTGCTTGGTGGTTGAGGGATATCTGCCGCGGGCCCGCCAGGGGGCACGGTTTTTATAGAACTTCTTGAAGCCGGAAGACTGCTGACTGGCTGCTGATTGGCTCGTTGATTCTTTGGCTTGACTGCATAAAAGCGGGCACAACTGACCGACTCTTTTCAGTACTCCTGGAACCGCCGGGGGTACTGTCACGCGTTTTTCTTTCTGTTTCAGATTCTCTGATTCTGCGATGCTGACTGGTGTCGCCGATTGGTGTCGCCGATTGGTATATACATACATATATTTATATTCATATAATTAATACCATTATTGTGTTTTCTATTTATATATAGGGATGTAATATTTCGTTGTTGCGTTCCTCTCTCCAATAATTCATTCAATTGTTTTTTCTTTCAGCTTTTATCTACATATATTACATCGTTGGGTAGATATTTTTCCAATTATTCTGTTCTTTATTTTCGACATCGATGGGTTGTTATTTTTCGAATTATTTTGTTCATCATTCTTTACTTCGTTGGGTTGTGATTTTTCAAATTATTTTGTTCCTCATTGTCTTTCATCGTGGGGTTGTTATTTTTTTAATTATCCTGTTCTTGGTTGTATATTTGTATTTGTCCCTATATTTATATTTGTCCCTATATTTGTTCACATAATTAATTCTAATTTGTGTCTATAACTACTAATTTTTATTTTAGTTTTTATTCAGATCAATTTTTAGATAGAGGACGACGGATGCAAGATTCATGCGTATTACCGTTAAATTTAAGGCGCGGCGCGAATGGTAAAATTAACGTCGAATATTTCTTTTTTTCCTTTCCTATGTTTCTCAATTCCCATTTTAATCTCATTAATTCCACCTACGACGTTAATTTTCTGTTTATATTGTATATTAGTTTATTTAATGCGTAGATTGCCAAGTAATTAATTAATTAACAGCTTCTTTTCCAGTCTCGTTCCCCCGTTTCCAGCTCCGGTCACCGCTGCTTTAATGTAGAAAGCAAGTGATCGGCCGTTTAGATGGTTCGAAGGGTCGGTTGCCGTCCTCTGGTGAGACAATTCTAGGGAAAGAGTCATCGGCCGTAGAGGGGACCTGTTCCTGTCTGCGGTAGCCCCGACTCAGGATCTCTCTCCTGTGTCAGACGTCCCGGGTTGGGTCCTACGGGCTCCCAGCAGGACGCGTTGGAGAAATGGGGAACCCGTGTCTGGTGCGTCGATTCTCCTCCCCTTCAATTGGACTTGCTAAGAGGTAACGAGCTGCCCCTTTTGACCCGCTATTCGGTACGTGTCGCACCTCATGTTCCTACTGCACTGTGCAGTATTGTGTCGCGTTTCGTCGTGTCGCGTCTACCACAATTTAGCTTCCTCCTTTGTTTTAGAAAAGTAATTACTTGGCATCTTTTTTTTTGCGTCATGCGTTAGTTCTAAGTCTGTAAAAAGGAAGATTGATCGAACTTTGTTCCATCGGTCTCACTTTGGGTCTCCACTCGCAGCAACCTCCTCGTGGTGAGACCTGGTAATCGGTGTTACCTTTGAAGAAAAACTTCTTCATTATGGGTAACACCGAGCTAATGGCTGCGAATTTAAAACAATATAAATTTGATTTTTAATCTAAATCAAAATCAAATGTTGTCTAATACTTTTTTCTAGGTACTAATTCTAGAAAAAATTTCAATGAGATAACTTTTACTTTATTTATTTTCAAAAATCGTATTAATAATATACATATGTGTGCTCATACATGGGAATAAAAAAAAATTTCTTTTTTTTCAATAATTAAAATATGATCAGGAGGTCTTAAAACGTGTATTTCCGTAAAATAAATTTTACAAAATTTTTTTTTCATTATGGGTACTTTGCTTATGTGCGCCTACATAGGTCGGAAAGTAAAAATGCCTGGGCAGTCGAGATTCGAAATTGTTTGACATTAGCTCTTCAAGATCAAGAAGGAAAGGCTCCTTCCTTCCTATTCGCCTTCTTTATCGATTTCCGAAGTTGCGTGAAACACTGACCACACGTAACATGTGGCTCGTGCGGTAGGGTATGTCGGTTAAGGAAATTCGTCGTTACTAGTGTCGTCGTCGATGCGTTCAATTCAATAGTCTATTATGCCAAATCTGGCCACACTGATTTCGATTAAATAATTGAGTTAATATTAAAGTTCTAACATTCCCATTTCCTCCGTTTGGATAAAACTCATCGGAAACGTTTTATATGATAAAAAAAATGTAATTATATCTCTGTTGTTATTTGAAATGATTTATTAATGATAATAAAGCATCACCTACAGTCTGCGATGCTTAAACATTACAATAATTGTAATAATTAATATAATATATACTCCGGTTACTATTTATAATTTATATAATTAATATTTATAGAATAATGTACAATGCTTGGAAAAATACATGAATTTTTAGTGCAAATCAGACACGTTTTCCATTCAATTTTTGTGTATACTCCATTACATTTAATTCTGTTGAGTAAAAAATCGAAGACGATATTCGTTATTACATTTCTTTAATGAATTCATTTTTTTAATTTTGCGTATCATAAATTTAATATTTGTTGCCCTTTTTCTCATATCAACCTGTTTTTTATGTCTGTAGATATTGATGGTCATGCAGTGCCCAATATCTTGTTCAACATTTTCTAATAATAAAACGCGCCTGAAAAAATAGTATCGATTTTTTCGATTTTAAAATCAATTGAAAAAATGTATGACATTACTAAAGTTAAAATAAGGTTAGAAATGATAAATATATGCAGCATGACAATGTACTCGTCAAATGACTTTCTATTGTTTAAACAAATAAATACTTAGTACCTATATGAGTAGTATTTTTAATTTCTTTATATTAGAAAAGTGAAATTTATTGTACTGATTTTAATACCATAAGCATTCTAACTCATTAAGTATTGTATAAATTGTATTGAATATAATTGTATCATTAAATATGGATTTTCGTGGTTGTAATTGCAAAAATATAACAATTACAGAAGGAATATTTGGAGAAATCTGGGTCGGTAGGTTGTTTAATTATTCTTTGTTGTGACAAAATAAAAAATAATATACCTACAAGTTAATAATAAATTATAAAAATAAGAAAACGATGGGGATCAAATTTTTACTGATTCTATTCCAAAAATAATAAAATCATATACAATGGCAAATACTAATCAAATGGAAGTTACTGTTATTACTTGGGGTGCTACAATTATATCTTTAAAATGTCCAGATAAATATGGACATTCTGCTGATGTTGTTCTTGGATTTGATGATTTGAAAGGTGTAATTTCAGCTTCTACCCTTAAAATAACTAAGTTTTATGAATATTTATTGTTAAAATATAACTGAATTTTATAGGATACATGAACCCTATGACAAATCCATTTATTGGATGTATATTAGGCAGATGTGCAAATCGTATTAAATATGGTCATATTACTATCAAAGGCAGAGATTATGAATTAACAAAAAATGATTTTAATGGAAAACATCATTTGCATGGAGGAGTAAATTCATTATGTTACGTTAGGCTATGTAATATGTAAATACCTTTTTTTACACAATTTTATTAGGTAAATGGTTTTGGCCGCAAAGTATGGGATTCATACATTGCTGGATGTTCAGTTGTCATGAGCTATTTAAGTCAAGATGGAGAGGAAGGGTACCCAGGCGCAGTATTAACTACAATAAGATTCAAATTAACTGCAGATAATAAGTTAGAAATGTGTATGCGAGCAACAACTTCTAAACCGACGATAGTGAACTTATCGCATGGTTCTGTGTTTAATTTAGCTGGACATGTGAGTAGCAGTATGATTCACATGTATTTAATTATATGACTTGATAAAATAAACAATCTGATAGGATGCTGGAGAAGTAGAGCTAAAAAAACATAAAATATTATTAAACTGTGATCGATGGACATTTGCGGACTACACAGATCCAGTTCCAACAGGTGCAATACGTGGTGTAGGTGGAACAGTCATGGACTTTCGAATACCCAGGGTTTTAGGAGAATATATGGAAAAGGTATAAAGTTGTTCAATATCATTACATTTTCAAAGTATCGAATACAATTATTTATTTAATATTAGGTACCATTTGGAGAAGGCTATGATCACAATTTTTGCATTACAAAAAATGGACAATCTGGAAGTTCATTTGTTGCAAAAGCTTGGCATGTAAAAAGTGGACGGTACTCGTAAATAAATTTATATGTTTAAAGTATTTATTAAATAATGTTAATGTTTAAAATACATTGGTATTTAGCATCCTAGAAATCTACTCTGATCAGTGTGGAGTACAATTTTATACCGGAGGCCGTCTACCACCTCAGATTATTCCAAAATTTTCTACTAATTATGATTTATTACAAGTAAATACATGTTGAATTCATATACATTAATTATCAATAGTACTTTTTATTTATTTGAACATTAACATCTTTTTAAACTTATGAATTTATTATTAATTTTATTTTAGACAGATAATAATGTAGAAGAAAACAATGAAAGTTATAGTAGCGATGCTGAACATAGCGGAGAAGAAATGCACATTGAAAAACCATGGGGAAGAATAATATCTGAACCTAAAGGATTGGAATTTCTCTTGGGAAAACAAGGAGCACGCTATAAAAAGTATTGTGGTTTTAGTATTCAGCCACAAAATTACCCAAACGCAATACATTACGTAAGTCCCTTTTTTAAAGTATATAACAATAGAATTAACGTGTCTATAAGTACATAATAAAAGTATTAACTGAATAAAAGTTTTTAGAATAAAAATCCTAAAGAATAATATATAAAATGAATTTCTTCCAGTCACATTTTCCGTGTTCCATATTATACCCTGGGCAAATTTATTGTCACGATCTAACATACAAGTTTGAAATACAACTTGCAAATTATATGTAGTATGATTAGAACTTTGTACTTATAATTTACGAATTTTAATATTATGTGTTATTATGTAATCTGATACGTTAGTATTATGTAAGTACACTAAAAATATTTCAATTACTATTAAGTTATTATAAAGACATTTTTTATTTTAATTATTTATTACAAAATTTTTTATCATTTGTATCAATTAACTGTTTTTCTATTGTGATAATTTCTTTTTTTTAGCAAAAAACTTGGCTACACTGCCAATCATACTACCAAAAGTGTTATGAATTATTACTGTACGTTGAATCCAATGTGGGAGTGCTTTTGTTTTTTGACAATAGCGTTTATCAAACAATATTACTGTTGAGTAATCATTAATATGTCGCACAGCTCGTCCAATACATTGATTTACTGCTTTCATACATGAATTTTCATAAAAGTTTTGTCCGGCATCAGGTTTCTAATGAATGGAAGGAATTATGAAATTTAAATTATATTATTGTTATGCAATATACATTGTTAGAACAAAAAAGAAAAATAAATACGTACAACATTTTTATTTAAATATTTCATTTTCTCTTGTAGTTCTAATGATTTAATATTTGGGTAAGGCATTCCTACAACTATAATACATCTACCCAAATTGTCAGAAAAATTTAATCCTTCGCTTAATTTACCACCTACTACACTAAATAGTAGAGATCCATTTTGAGGACTTTGTGGTTTATTTATACAAAGTGCATATTGTTCCAAAATTTCATTTACCTACAATATGTAAGATTTATATGAAAATTTCATGAAATAATTCTAACAATGTAAATAAAAATAGTACCTGAGAAGTTAATTTGGGTTCACGAAAAACACACTTTTTTGAAGAAATTTTTTTTAATATTCCAGACTTATCTAAATGTTTGTATACTAATTCTTCAAAATTATAAGAGGGTAAAAATACTACAATTCCAGCTGGTACAATATTACATATATTTAACAATGCTCTTCCTAGTTCATCTATCTGAAATGTTTAAAATTTTATTGACATACCTTATTGATTATTTATTAATTGCTAAAATCACTTTAATTATGGTATTATCAGTGAAATATATACCAATTTCGTATTTTGTCGATTTTGAAAATTAAATTCAAATTCAATACCAGTTGGACCGTGAGTTATAATATTACATATTATATTTTCTTGAGGAATCACATGATCGCATGAAAATGTAACAATCCTATCAGGCGCGGCACCTGCTGCTATAAATAATTGTTCTGTAAATTCGTTCATTGGTGCCATTGTTCCACCAGCTAGTATTACAGCTCTTGCATCTTGTACTATCAATAATTAGATTATATCAGATTTACATAAAATAATAGGAATTGTAAGACAGCATGTATTTTTAAATTTATGGCCGTACCGATATCATGAAAATGAGCTGCTGGATTTAACAATAGAAATTTTATAAAACTTTGTCCAATAGTTGAACCAGGAACGACTAATATGCGTCCATCGCTACACCTATTTTGTAAACATTCTAAAAAGCTCACAACTGATATCAATGGATTATTTGATTGTTCTTCGTTTGGTACTTTGTCTGTAAGTGACTGAGATACGTCCGATTCTAAACCTTTGTTTTTAATGGAATTTAAAAATTGTGTCACACCAGAAATTTCTGTATCATTTTTATGAAGTTTTACATTATTTCCATATTGTTCTACGAAAGCTTGTAGTTTGTGACTCAACCGAGAATTTTTAATAAATTTCAACAAGTCGAATATGTTTACTGTGTCAATTTCTGTCGTTACTTCAAATTCTTCTATTTTATATAATTTCGATGATACTTTTGTGTCGATACTATCATTAGGATTTGACTTTGTAGTAGCTCCAAAAATTGTAAAGAGTTTTTTTAAACAAAAACTTAACTGACTTAAGCTTAAGACACTTTTAGCAGAAAAATTCATTTGAAATCTGAAATATAAATGAGTATAATTATAAATATAAAATATAATTGATTGTAGAGTATAATAACAATGAGATTGTCGAAACAAACAATGTGTAATACCTTTTTTGATATTGTAAAAGTTGGTTATAACAGTGCAATAGATGTCTACCTGTAACCATAACACTATGCATTCTTTCAATGGCTTCCAATAAATTATGAGCTTCGTCGATTATTAATATATTTTTTTTTAAAACAATTCCTGAACTTATTCTTGTGTTTTTATGCAATATAGTATTGTAAGGTACTAATATTAGCTGACCATGCGGAATAGCATTTCTTGACGCGTAATATGGACAAGTTTCAAGATTTTCTCCTTTCTGTGCAATTTCTTCCACATCCTGAATGTGTGCTAGAGTTTCCCCTATTAGCCAATCTTGATTACCTGGCATAAATGGACAATTAGTTGTCACTTTTTTTTTTTTAACATCTTTTTCATGCTTAACGGTTGTTTTCTTCTTTTGTAATTGTAAACATTGTTCGTTAATTAAATTCAAGTGTTTTAATCTTCTTATGTTTTTATTAATACAATAACTTTGCCTAAAATTATTTATAAATATAAATATAACAATTAATGTTAATAAAATATAATTTCTAGAATTTCTTCAATTTTAATTTTATATAATAATGTAAAGAATATTCTTAAAAATTACCTAGATGCCAATGTTATGACGGATACATTTTTTAAATAAGGACTTTTTTTTAGTTCCCCTATAAACTGTGACAATTGGGAATGAGTTCTGGAACAAAAAAAGATTTTGGTGTTTTCATAAATATTTCCTTCCTCGTTTTCATTTTCAGAACCATCTGAATAGTGTACGATATCTTCTAAAAGTAGTTCTGCCTCTATATTTTCATCTTCCAGATGTGAATCGTCGAATGACAAATCATTTTCTGATACTTTATGTTTTATATAATCTGTTTTGATTTTATGGTACGATTTTTTTTTATTATTTATATTTTTAGCTGTTTCTACCAATAAATTTTTGTTACGTTCGTACTGAAGAATGTTGTTTAACTTTGTTTTAAGCGCTTGTCTTTCGCTGTTCAATTCTATCTGTTTGGTCTGAACAGATAACCAATTATCAGAGGAATTAACACATTTTTCTATTTTCTCATCAAGTACCGAAATTGCAGCTGTTAACTGACTCTTCTGCAATTCTTCATAATCAATTAGCCACTTTAATGCACCACAAATAATTGACATAGATTTACCAGTGCCTGTTGGACTTTCAAAGATTCCCAAATTACCATTCTCTAGACATATATAGAGTTTTTCCATAAATTGATTTTGTATAGGATATGGTGGGAAAGGGAAAAGAAATTCTTGAGTAGTTTGCATATTGTTTAGTAATCATTCAAAAACAAATATAATAAACTCTTTGTTAAACTTTCACAAAAGATCAATAAAAAAACTACACAGTGTGTTCTTTGAATCTACTAAAAATGTATGTAGACTAAAAAAAACTTAAAATATTTAAAAAATTACTTAACACAACAGTAGTTTAAACTTTATGTACAATATTCTTCAACTTTCTTGAGAGCAGTGTAGCACTTGTGGGAAAAGCCGGCAGCCGACATATTCTATCGCACGACGGCCACGGGCCCGTGCCGCACGAGTAATAATGTAACGCAATCCTTTATTTCTGGTTTAAAAAAGAAAAGGATAGTAATCTTATAGAGTTGTGTATTAATAATTTACTATAGAAATAATAGTTAAGAGAATAGTGTTCATTAAAAACTCTAAATTTGAATAAATTTCTAGGGACTTTAAATAAAATTAGGGAAATTTATGTTATCTCGTTAGAGAAATACTTTACTTCCTGCGATGTGAAGAAGTAGTAGTTGTTTGAAATTAAACGTATCTTCCATGGAACGTTACGAGACGGAAAGCTATTTAAGTTTGTGGTTTTATCGTTTCTACAATTATAACTAAGTAATTTCTTGTTTAAAAAGTCATGAGAGTATGGCTCCAAGTAATATTGGAATGGGTAAGTAACAATATTATGTAAATTGAAGTGCGTGAGAAGTAATTAGTCAACGTTATTATTTAACCAAAGGTAATCGTTATTACAAAACAAGTGGTAATAAACTTGATTAACATTTAAATGAATAAACAAAAATTGTAATTCCTATTTTACTATTATAAATTATCGTCATAGATAATCATAACAAAGTTTATTTAAAACTACAAAAAGTTTTTACTGTTTTATAAACATAATAAAGTGCTGTAGATTGTATATTTTTAATATGATGTAGAATGATATATATATATATTCTAAATTAATACTGAAATAAATAATGTTTTAGCTCAATTCCTTAGATGTGACAGAAAGGAATGTCACAGACTTAAAAGAATTAGAAGATGGAAAGTTCTATAAAAAGTTAATAGAATTATGGTAAGTGCTATTCTAGTTAATTATGCTTAATTAAAATGGAAAATATTGGTTAACACAAATTTTTTGTATGAAATAAGCAGAAAGTATAATATATCTGTATGTTATCATTAAATTTTGTTTATTTATATAAATTTTATTTTATAGTTCTTGGGAAGGTGATAAGGAAAATTTAGGTACAAATCGTATTATTACGCAATTTTTACAAGGTCTGTGCACATATACATATTGTTTAATTATATTAAATAGTTATTTAATTGGTGTACTTCTTATGATTTCATATAGATGATTATCCCGAGTTTAAATTTGACAAAGAATGTGTTGGAGAAATGGAACAATTGGACGTTGCTTCTTTATTTTTATTGCATGTATGTCAACACGAACCGATATTTTATGGGCCAATGAGTAACAAATTACAGCATGAAACTCAACTAAAAATTAAAGCATTTGTTGAAATGATTATTCCTTTCGAAAAACGAATAAATAGAGAGATATTAAGAAGAATAATTACCGAGGTAGAAGGCAATAATGTACCAAAAACACCAAAGACACCAAAAACACAATCACTAAAGGATTTTTTAAGTTCTCCTATTGCACAATCTGCCCAGAATTATAAACTATTGAATGAAAGAAATCGTGAATTAAGAAGGTTGAGGAGCCAATTGGAAGTGGAAAAATTTGAGAAAACTGATTTACAAGAGGACATAAAAATACAGCAAAACAAAGTTCAAAGCCTACAGAAAAAGTTACAAGAAAAGATTACAGAAATAGCAGTTTTACGTAAAGAAATAATGAAAATACATACTCCACAATCTTGTACAACAAATGAAAATACCACAGATCGTGAACAATATTATAAAAGGGAAATAAATTTTTTAGAAGATAGGCTAGTGCAAAAACAAGATGAAATAGATAAGCTTGAGGTAGAAAATGACAATTTATCGACAAAATTAGCGCAAATAAGAAAAGAAAACATATATTTTAGAGAAAAAGTAAAAAATTGTGAAAAGTCTTTAGAAAACTTGCAAATTCAGGGAGAAATTAAGGACAGAGAGTTAATGAATCTTAGATCGACTAACGAGGAATTATGCACTTATTTAAAAGAACTTAATAAGACACACGTTACAGAAAGAAGTTTTGAAATTGATGGAGTAGCACCCTTAAGCCCATCTTTATTACCTTTAAATAATAGTGAAGCTTTGAGTTCAATAATTGAAATTCAATTACAAGAAGCAAAAGAAGAATCTGCATCATTGAAAACTCAGGTTGATGTTTTAAATAAAAAGTTAGAATTTAGTAGTCGAGACTATAAAAGTGTAACACAACAGCTACAAGAAAAAACAGTAATGTTACAAGATACAGAAACTAAATTAAACACTGCTTTGAATAAATTAACTAAAAAGGTTGAATCCTTACAAGAAGAAAAGATGTCTTTAACAAATCAAAATCAAAATTTAGAAGATTTATGTACCTCTCAGAAGGAATCTTTAATACAAATCGAAGAATCGAAAAATATTTTAAGCATTGAAGTAGTTTCTTTGAAAGAAAAGATTAAAAATGTAGAAGAATCATTACACAATGAAACTACAAATAGTATGAAACTAAATAATGAACTTGTAGAAGCAAAAGCGCAAATACATGAAAATGTTAAATGTATTGAAGATTTAACACATCAAAATAATTCATATAAAACTTTTATTGAAAATTGCAACACGAATTTAAAAGAAATTATAATTCATAATTTAGATATTAATGATAGCGAAAATAATAATTTAGATGGTGCAACAACTATTCAACTTATACAAGCTCTTTATACATTGTTACATAATTTTGAAGAAAAATATATTATACAAGAAACAAAAATAAAATCATTGAATAATGCAATGGAAGAAATGACATTAAAAGCACAACAATATCAGTCTCGAATATTCGAATTGGAAGAAAAGGACAAACAAAATAATATGGAAATCTCAAAATTCGAGGAAACTATTACACAAAATATGATAAAAATTAGAGAACTTACTACTACTGTGGATCAATATATTACTGAAATTTCATGTCTAAAGAAAATTCAATTTGAAAAACAAGCTTTAGAAAACGAAGTATGTACGCTTACAAAAGAAGCGAATGAAAAAAATGTAGCGTTAAAATCTTCTATGATAGGTATAAAGACTTTACAAGAAAATTTTCATGCGTTTGCAACAGAATTCTATTCAACAAAGAAAAATCTATTTCATTTATTAAATGAATGTCAAAAGCAAAACGAAGAAACCATTAAAAACATTTTAGATGCTTATAAAATGATGTATAATAATTTTACTAAAGAACAGTTGCACAGAAAAGAAATTGAAGACAAACTTGCTGATAATAGAAAAGAATTGAAAGATAGTCGAAATTTAAATACTACGCTAAAAGATAATTTGTCAAAATATAAGCAGACAATAAATGATTTAGAGGCAGGAGCAATAAGCGCTAAAGAAAAGTTAATGATATCTGAACAAAAATTGGAGAAGCTTGAAGAAAATAATGAAACGCTAGAAAAACAACGTAAGAATCTTAAATCTCAAAGTGAACAAATTTTACTTGACTTAAATAATATAAACGACAAACTTAAATTATTTCAACAAGAAGCATGTAATATGTCAGATCGATTAAAATTCAAAGATGCTAAAATTGAAAATTTGGTAGCAGAAATTACTTCTCTACAGTTAGAAAAAAAACACATTGTTCGTCTGAAAATGGAAGAAGAATCTAAAACGAAAACCTTTATAAAAGAATTGGAAATTAAGCTGCTGGAGCAACAGCAGAAGTTGGATCGGTTAAATGTAGAGAGAAAATTAAAACAAGAAACACTGGACCTTGTACGAAATAAATTTGAAAACTTATCGAAAGAAACAATTGCCTCTGAAATAAAAATGAAGGAAATCATTTTAAATTTTCAGGAAGTAAGAACCAATCAAGATGCAGTTTTGTCGACTCAGGAAAAAGCCTTAAAGGAAAAAACTTTACAATTAGATCAGATACAGAAAGAATTTTATGAATTGAAAAATGCACTTCATAAACAATTAGAAAATGAAAAGTTGTTATGTCAAAATTTGCAAAGCAAAAACTCAGAACTTGAAATTGAATCATACAAACAAATGAAATCTATGGAAGAATTGCAAGAGTTGTTGAGAAGAGAAAAAAGCGAACATAATAAAACTAAAGACAATTGTAAAATCGAAGACATAAAAAAATTAGAAACTGTACGGGTTTGTAAAGAATTAGAACATTCAATAACTGATTTAAAATTAATAATAGCAGAAGCAAGCTCGAACGATGAAAATATTTATGAGGATGAGTACGATTTTTCGTGGACGGATAATAGTGATAAAACTGACGATGTATTAAATACTGTACGCACATCTATTAATACTGTTAATGCATCATGCAAATGCATTGTATATCTATCTAATATAAACACAAACTTAAAGGAAACCTTGCAGAAGCAAAAATTAATTGTAAATAACTATGATACAAAATGTGAAGAAATTAAATTATTGAAAAATAAGATGCAGGAACTAGAAAATTTAGAGGAGAAACGCATAAAACATTTAAATGATCTTATCAAGCACAAGGAATCATTGAGAGACTCTTTACAAAATATTATAAAATCAAGAGAAAGTTTGAATATATCCATAGATGAATTAAAACAAAAGTGGGATAAATTGTTAATAAAATTCTGTAGTATTTTTGCAATGGATACATCTGTATGTGATGTATTAAAACATATACAAACCAAAAAAACGCACCTTGAAAATACCTTGTCTAGGCTTAATGTTCATCACTTGCAAAATATAAAATTCCTGTATACTATTTTGTGGCAAAAGTTCTTATGGGCTGAACAAACATTAAAAAATACTTATTTAAATCCAACAAATAATGAACAAGCTTTCGATATTTCTTATGATAATTATTCAGATGAAAGGACAGTAATGGAAGTAGAGCTACAGAAGAGTATGATATTGCAAAAAGATATTAAATTTCATGATGAAATAAATGATTTCTCTAACTTAGTTACGACGTTTGAAATCAACTTAAATTCTGATGAAATAAAATATCAGTCTGAAATTGAGAAAAAATTAAAGTTACAGATAAATAAGTTACTCGAAGAGAAGAATGATTTAAGAAGGAAATTAGATTGTGCACATATGAAAAGCACAGAATTCGAAGGTCATATAGAACAGCTAAAGGCACCTTTATTGAAGAACATTGAAAATTTGAAAGTAGAAATAATGCAATCAAAGAAAGAAATCTTAAAGTTAGAAGAAGAAAGGGATGAATTAAGCAAGCGGCTAAAAAAAGAAGATGTTGATAATCAGTTGAAAGACATTCACGATAAATATAAAAATAAATTAGATGAAATTAAACTTAAAATGGTAAGCATATAATATATAATACCTTTTATTTTTGGTATCATTATGATCCGCTTGTTCTTATAATATGTTTATTATAGAAAACAGCGTATAATGAACAAATATCAAAGATGAACAGAGAACAAGACCAATGCATACAGGCAAGATTAGAGTCGTTGCAAAGAAAAATGGAAATACAGTGTCGTAAGCAGGCAGACGAATTAAGTAAATATAAGGCACATGTTGCTGACATGAGTTCACAAATTTGGAATGTCGGAGAGAAACTGTTGAGTGAACGACAAGAAAAGGAAAAATTACAAAATGAATTGACAGAACTTAAAGCTAAATATCAAAATTTTGATCAACAGGTCGTTTCCGCAATGGGACACCAAAGCTCCAAGTTAGAGTAATTATAATAATAATAAATAATTTAAAGTTAACTTTCATTCTAGTATTTTACAAAAATTGTTCAAAACTTTTTATTTCAGTTACGAAAAAAGAAATTTACTATCAGGAGAAAATAGAGAAGAAGTTTTACACAAAATTGCAGTAATACAGGAGAAAACTACTTATGAAAGAAGATGCAGTATTAGGAGCATACAATCAATGGGCAATGCATTTAATGCAGAAGACGAAGAGGGAGAAATTTTTGATAATATTTATTTAGGTAAATTAAAATAAACTTACTAAATAAATAAAGTAATTTTTAAAATTATAAATTATTAATGACATGAATTTAATTTTATAGCCGATATGAAAAACGGCCATTCATCGCTCGACACCGATATAGATCGATTATCTATTCTGAAAAAAAGAAATGCTCTTTGTAAACCACATCTGAAATCTTCTTACCCTGCAGAAATGCAATTTCATCCCCTATCATTTACAGAAGAAGAAATTAAAGTAAGCAATAAATTCTACATGCAAGTCATGTATGACATAAATATTTCATGTATCTTATATCGTGCTTGTGTTTTTCTACATACAATCCTAAATTTAATTGTAGACAGGCTCAGCAACAGATGAAGTATTTAATGATAGCTTAAGTCAGAGTTTACTTCCCGAACATAAGGTCAAAAAAAAGGATAGAACTCAGGTAAGCATCTTGGATCAAAAAATAAATAATGGATTTCCAGAACCTCCAATTAATTCTTTTTATAATTAATTATATAATTTTTGATATAATAAAAATAATTACAATTCAATTTGTCTAGATCTCCGTTTTTGCAATCGAAAATTCGTATTTCTGATCCAATGTTACATTTTATGATTTATATGTTATATAGACGTCATATAAAAAACCTGGTCCTCCGACACCTAGTAAAAATGGAGGAAAAGCGTCATTACAAGTAAGTTATCTGCGACGATCATTTTGTACTTACACAAAAGTAAATATTATTTGATATGAGTAAATATTATTTCACATGTTGTTTTTAAACATCGATGGGTAATGATCTGAAGAGTCCAAATTCAAGAATATTAAGAGAGAGGAATAAAGAGAGAACAACAACTACACCACGCACACTAAAGAGTCTATTCACTTCAAGACGTCAAGACGAAGTAAGGATAAGGATACTATTTAACTCTAAAATTTTCTCTTCTTCGTATATTTATTAATATCTAATGTATATTTAAAAAATATTGAAATCAAAAGTTAACCATATATAACTATATGTAACGATATTTTAATAGAATGTTACAGTGACACCAAAAGGTCGTAGAAGGAGTAGCATTTTCCGTAAATACCGTCCCACGAGTGATAGATGAAAATAATCACGTACGTAAAATGGAAGTATTCGATTAGTAATGATATTTGTAACCGCAAGGGAATAATTACTTTTTTTCTATCAAGACATATAAGAATTGTACAGAAAAATAGAACTAGAATTATAATTTTGTTTACAGTGGGCAATTTAAGCATACAAGAAAAAAAATGTTCATAATTTATACATTGTAGTCATTTATTTAGACAATTCATTAAATAGTTTTATAGCAACAATAATATTTAAAAGTTATATTAATATAAAAACGCCAATGTTACGAAATATATGGTATGTCATGTGTAATGTGATATGGTGAATTAAAAAGAAAATATGCGATTTTAAATAACAAAACCATTTCATAAGAATGATTTAAAGAAAATTTTTAGAAATTTCTCAACATAAAATGAAACTCGACGATCGATTAGAAATTCTATTACTTTATGTTGTATATGTAGCTGATTGAATAAGTTCTATATATTATACTATTTGAAACCTATTCAATCCGATACATGTATTATAAATATATGACAAATCACCTCCTCTTGGAATACTTCCATCTTGGATGCAATGCATTCTTTTCTATTGTACTTCATTATTCGGAATCAGATTCCTATAACAAAGATGTTTCGTTATTTTAATGGGGACTATTATAATAATTTGAAATTTATTCAAATTTTAATTATTTCATAATATGGCTTATTAAACTGGTATAATTTTATAATAAAATATTTTTAACTTTAGTTAAAAATTTTAGAATTTTAAATTATACTAAATAATTTACAAACAAATCTCAATATCTGTAAAATAAATTTTCATTCTATACTTAGGAATATAGTAATTAAAAATTTGTACTATGATTTTGTATACTAATATTTTAAATCATAATTATATGTATGTCTATTATAATTAAATTACTATTAAAAAAAATTAATGTATGATAATTTTAATATTATATATTTTATAAATTATATACACATATCTCGTAATTGTAAATTATTACAACTTACCATATATTGTCCTTCTACATAGCGACCAGAATTCCTAGCGGTTCTTCTTAACTCTCTTGGTTCTGCATGATCTTGACTTCTTCGTCTAAAAAAAAAAAATAAAAAAAAAATTGTATGATAATACACACAATATTTCAAATCTGCTGAATCAGAAAAATTGATTACTTACGACCTCGATTGAATCTGCGATGTCTTAAGTTTATTATCTATATCTTGAGATGGACTGGTTGATACATCTTCAATGATTGCTGTTGGAGACGTCTGCATCTGTGTGGTATCGCCGGATTCGTAAAAGACAGCTGCCCTAGATCCACGAGTTATTGATACTTTATTAACGGCTAATCTGAAATAAAGATTTAAGCTAATGGTACTACAAAGGGTGCACAACATTTAAATATATTTCACGAATACCGTTTCTAGCGGTTTTCTATATAAACGGAATAGTGTTATTCCATTATGTTTTCATACAATATTTTTTAGAATTACTTTATTGTACGCAAGTGTAAATCTAAATTTAATCTACTTAGAAAAAAGATAACTTAAAGATATAAAACTCGAAATGATATATAAGTTACTCACTGGTGTTTTCTTGGACCGCGTTTCTTCTTGTGTTTGCTGAAAGAACAAGTTATTATTGATGGAAATACGTTGGAGCTAATTTCATAAATAAAGGGACAAAAATTTTATATTAAGTAACTCTTTGTACTTTCACACGCATGGTCCATGTGATACAACATACACATATATTACAGAATTACACTTCACGTACATACGTATTATTGCATTCCATCACTACATCTGAAGGAACAATAATAAAGTATCCAAGCAAAATTCGTAGAATTAACCCAGGTATTAACAAATCAAATACCTAGAAACATGTCTAGAATATTGCGATGAATATAGAGAACGGCGTGTTAAAAAATACAAAATGTAAGAATCCGATGTTAAGCAGGAAATGTAAAATGATGGGTTAATTCTGTCACATTTCCTGCAAATTTCAAGAAGAAAGCTGTACAAAGTGCAGCATTACTTAATCGCTATGGACTTCAAATTTTGATAAAGCAGGATTCAGGAACTTATGGGAGAAGAGGGTCTTATTTTAATTAATATCACATGTTTATCGTATCTATCACCAATTTGTATATTATCAATATATAAACAGAATACAAAGTATTTTAGACTTACTTGCTTTTAAGTTCTTAGGTTCAACAGAACACACATCGTTCTCTATGTACTTTTTTGTCAGGCATTCCAAAAATATTATCGTTTCATTATTTCAACATTATTATTGTGCATTTTTATCTTATTTTCCTTACACTAGTTTATAGAAGGTGAGTTGCTTTGAAAGTAGGCACCAAGAACAACAGATTTCATTGATTCCTTGTACAACTTGACAATATTACATATATATTCTTGTTAATTCCTTACACTAGTTTGAAAGTTGATTTTAAAACAGGCACCAAGAACAATAGACCTCATCAATTCCTTATACAATTTTTGCCCCTTATATGATTACATATATTATATATTTTGCTAAAAAGTCTAATTCTTAGCTTGAATAACGATCAGGTAGCCTGCAACAAGCGATTCATAAAAGATTACTACCCATGCGAACACAACAGATTTATGATGTACGTAAAGACGCCAATGGTAATAAATGTTCATTAATAAATTAAGCACAAACATGCAATTAGTTGATAAAAGGGTAAACCACTATTATTTTAAAAATATTCTATCTTTAACGATATTTGACACGATACAAAAATTAAAATTATTAATATGTATACATATAATATGCTGCGTTGCAAATTATAAAGTTATTTACTTTACTACTTTAAATATCTTACATGTTTAAATTAAAATATTTGATAGCAATATGACGTCTTACAGTAACAAATACATTTTAGCAAAGCATATAGTAGAAAGCAATAACACAAAATAAAATACAGCAAAGAGGAAGATAGTTTCTATTAGCAATTAAACTACCGACAATGCAGATTTATTTTAGCATTCGACAATATTGCAGTGCAATGTTAACGATAGTAAATGAGATAGAAATGTGCACAATACATGGTGAATTAAAATATCTACGTAAGCACCTAAATGTAACATCTAAATTTGCACTACCTTCTAAAACTATTCAGTGTCCGTTTACAAATGTAAATTTAAAAAAGAAAAAGAAAAAAAACATGCTGCATATATGAATTTTGTACATTAACCCTTAAATGATGTACATTCCCATATGAAAACGCTTACAAAACTCTTCAACAAATAAAAAAACTTTTATACTATATGTAGACAACTCTCGTAAAATATCTCGTTTTTAATAGAAATACGAAAGCAGAATTGCTTCGTCACCTTTAGTTTAAAAAAATTTGCTTTTTCGAAAAGGTAAGATTTTCGGGAAAAATGAAAAAACTAAAAATGTTGCGATATTAAATTTAGTCTTAATAGATAGCGAGAAATTTCTCGAATATAATATAATGTATATTTTTATAAAACTTTCTGACCATTTACAATAATTTAATAACACTATACACTGATAATATATTTATGAATTTCCTCCATCTATTAAGACTAAATTGAACATTTTAGCATTTTTAATTTTCACGCAATATGCTTTATCTTTTCATAAAATCGTGCATTTCTACAAAAACTGATATTTTTTCGAAATTAGATAAATTCTATTCTCAGATTTGTATTTAGTACGAGAAACTCTACAAGATCCATCTAGAGAGTATTATAAAAAATCAGGGAAAGATTTTTATTTGTTAAACAGTGTAATCCTGTAAAACTTCCAAAAGGATATGATGCCCGTTAAGGTTGACTCAGCGCAGCACATTTTGCGTAAACGATGTGAAATTGTTTGATATCGTTCATGCTTCAATATACATACACTTATCCTAAAGGTAAATGTAGTCTCAGTCTTTTCTCGATCTCTGAATTGAAATTCTTAAAATTTGTATTTTTTGTTTTACTTATTTACTATAAACGGAATATCTCTAACAAAGAATAGATTATTATAAATAAAATAATGCATTTTGTTGGACCATTTTAATTTAAATAGTTCAGGAGATAGAAGGCATCATATATGATAGATATGGTTCTGGCCACAAGTGTTCACTTTCTCGCAAGCGTCCCGTCGTTTAAGAGTTAATAAGCTGTCATTACAAACTTTTATCAAGTATTACATATAGCGATTACTTGCAAGTGTGTAATTGTTCTACTTTCATAATGATTTCAATAAATAAAATGTAAGGTATATATTACTCTGTATTAGTTTGGTGTAAACACCCAACTCACCCCAAAAATTCATGATCAGAACCTTCTTCAGGCTCATCTACTTCTTCTTCTTCTGTAAAGATTTTTAATAAAAATAATTACGTTTTAATGTATTAGAGTGTAATTCTAAAATAAAAACAGTACTAAAATTTTATAAATAAATCTTTGAAAATTCTAATTCGAGTATATGGATTTGAATTTTTTAAATTTATATTAAATGTATCAACATACCAGCTAAATGATCCTTTTTACGTCTTGTGTAAGCGCGTTTACTTGTCACTGGAACTTGATCGGTTTCGCCATGTAAGAGACTGTTTCTGTACAAAAGTAAAGGTTGCCAATCCTCTCCCCGCGAGGACGGCATTCCAGCTTGTAGTCTCCTATCGAGGAAATTTAATCTAAAATATAAATATAAAAATTAGTCATAGTACAAATACAGGTAACATTATAGAAATCTGTGAATAAGGATTTTACTCACACGAGACGTTTATCTTGTTTAAGAAGTTTATTCGTAAATTCAGATAAGATTTCAAGAAAAGATAAATTTGGTGGTGGACCAGTAGGATCTTGTTCTATACTGTCTGGTGGAGTTACCGCGAAAAGCACACCTGCTCGATGCAAAGCTGTAATTGCTTCACGATTTTTTACTGCGTCTAAGCCAAACGATAAAGCAAATCGTTTTGCAAGTTCCTGAAATCAATATTTTTCAATTATTAATGTATACATTTATAATACCAAATGCTTATAAGCAAGTACAAACCTTTATAGCAGTAAATTCTTCACTATTTCTATTCACTTTACTTTTTTCAGCTACTATTTCATTATACAAAATATTCAAACTGTGTTGCATGGTCAAAGCACAATTTGTTTTATTAATATCTCTAGCTTTTCCTAGTGTAGTTTTAATTATATCGCCATAATCATTATAGTATTTTACATAATGTTTGAACACATCTGCCGATGCTTTTGTGGGTATCATATTATATACAATCAGCTTGCAATAACCAGCTAAAAAGTTTCTCCTTTTATGCAACTCTTCAATTTTTGAATGTTCGTCATGTTCGTCTGTAAGTAAAAAATACTGTATGTTGATTAACTCTGTTTGTTTTTAAATGAAAAATCGCAATAAAAGTATTCTACTAAAGGTCACGTACCATCTTCTTCTTCAAAAAATACGTACTCCTGTATGAACCGATTAAGCATATATTGCATTGCTTGATCAGGTTCGTACACTAACTGATGCATCAAAGGATTAGAATGCGTTATTAACTGATTACAAAACACTACCAATAAATCACATATTGTATTGTATGCTTCTTCTCTTAAAATTGGTGGAGAAGGCTAAAGAAATATTAACAGATATTATATATTATTTACATGACGTATCGATAAAGATATTTAGAAAGAAATTAATTACCGTGTCGCTTCCATCACCACTAACGAAGTGACGCATGGAACCCATAAAAGAATGTAAACGTTCCTTCAATTGTCGACATTCATCTTCACCTCGATTTCCAGAATCTACAGATTCCATGAGGTGATTTTGTCCCCACAAAATTGCGAAGAAACATGCACTTATACAATACTTAACTGCTTCATGTGGCAAACACCTGTAACAAGTATAACTCTTTAAACCTTTGATACCTGCTATGTATGTATTTGAAATTTCTATATGTACGTTATACATAATGTTAGTACTTCGTTGGGTCCTTGGCATCTTCGATGTCCTTGTACAAAGAATCCCATATTCCCCATGGATTCATATTGTGACAGGAATAAAATATTGAAACTTTTTTAAGGGACTGTACAACATTGAACGTTTCATCTTCATCCGGTTCTTCGTCTCCTTCTATCAAATTTCTATATTCATCAATAGCTTCTTTATATTTATTTACAATAGAATCGATTAATGTTGAACGCGCTACGTCACACCTATGTTGAAACATGTTAAACGTTAAATTTACTTATCTCTTATGAGAAAAATAAGAAAAGTTTACCTAGTGAAAATAGCGTGTCCCTCTATGCACATATGTTCCAATGTTTTCGCAGCTGTATCCAAAACTTCAGTGTCGTGCATTTTTTCTACAATTGTTTGAATCTTATTCAACAATGAATCTAAGTTTTGCTCTTGCCGAGATTTCGTATAAATATCCAAGTCAAAGTATTGAGGGATAGCAAGTAAGTTTGCCAACTTCTCGGGATCTGCTCTATATTTGTCAAGTAAAAGAGGTAATGTTTGTATAAAATGTTCCGTTAATCTTTGTTTGTCATCATGAACTTGCTTCATTTCTTTTGCCGACAAAATCTTCCTAGTTGGTCCCCGACCAACCGGAGCTTCACCTATTTTCAAAATTAAACTAAATTTTCACCAATACTATACAATTTTCTAAAGACAAATGCAAAACAGGAAGCTTACCCGTAGCGGCCTGTTTTATACAGCAAACCATCAATTCGATCAAAGATGTTTCCTTTTGATTATCTAAAGCTTCTTCTACGGGTCCAGCCTCTTCTAATAATAAATCTGTCATGCATTCCCAATCTTTCATCATCTGATTTGTTTCGATCAAAGAATCTACCAAATACGCTCCATGCTCATGAAGCTCCGATTCAATGAAAAATAAAACAAGATCTCGAATAAGTGGTGTGTTAGGTAGACGCTTTTTCCCACGCTTAGTCTTTACACCCGCTACTGCTTCGTCATCCGGTCGGAATAGTCGTTCGTTTAAAAATTCACCTGCTGCCTGTGCAACAGCACGATGAGATGAATAAACAAGTTCGTAGACGTGCTCGCAATCTTTATCGGTAAGAATCTCTCTATGATGCTTTAAAATCGAGATAACAAGTTTCACAGCTTGTACTGCTACATCATACTCTTTATCCAATGTCATTGCAACAATTCTGTCTTTAAATTTACTTGTAAAAAGTTCAAGTTTAGTTTTTAATTCTTCCGAAGCATACAATGGTTGCAATGCTTGAAGGCATTTTAATCGAACTTCTCCAACTTTATCATGTAATGTCCAACCTGAGAAATTACAATAAATTCATACAGATGTCGTATAGCATTGTGTACTAGTTTTTAATGTTGGTAAAATTCTATTAACCTATGTATTTTAAATAAGAATCATCTAAAAAATTTTGATGAAATTTTTTCATCCAAACACCAATTTCTGCCATGCAAATTGCACGTATTTCTGGTAATGTATCTCTGTACCGATGCACAAATACAGATTTGAACATATATGTAAGCATGTTTTTAATCTCATCCATGTTTTCTTCAAGTTCTTTGCGTTTAGCCATTAACAATTCCAATCTATCTGCTGCTCTTTTTTCTCTAGCTTTCTGTCTTTCAGCTTCATATTGTCGTTGTGTATTATCTAAATTTATTGATACGGTCAAAGCAACATCCACCAATGCCGTCATAAGTTTCATAGCTACAAATAATATTAACATTATTATATTTCTAAATATACAAGTATCAATATATTTATAGAAAAATGTATTTATCTTACCAGCAAGCGTGGCCGTATGCCTAAAAGCTCGAACTTGTGAATCCGAAAGACCGGTTAATAACGAAATTACATTATCCATTAAAAACTGATCATAAATTATTGAATACTGACATTGTCGAACTAAAATTTGAACAAATTCGCAGAAATTTGCACGAAATTTCTTCCATTGTTGCCCAGTCATTATCAATGGATATTCTCCACTTTCCTAAATTATAAATCAATATTGATTAAATATGATAAACATTTATTTGTAAAAACAATATCAACGTACTTCGTCGAATTCTTCAGTCATTTTTCGTATTATTGCCACATGTTCCATCGTTGCTTGCATTTCAGAAGTAATTCGACCTTTACAACCGCTTGCATTAATGAAAAATTGCATTAACATGAGAAGAGCATTTTCTTTATTGATTTTGTACTTTTCTATCCAATCATCGACAATAGTCTATATATGATGAAAACAATATAAAAATAAATGTAATTTTTAAATTTGTCATTTTTAATGTCTAATATTTTTTTAAACATATATACATATATACATACAGTCAACGAAGAACGATTATTCCTGATGACATAATAAAGACTAGCCTCATCTTCTAGACTATGCGAGTGATGTGTTCTCTTTCCACGTCCACGTCCACCGCCCCCTCTTCCCCTATTGCTGGTAGTTGGAACAAAGTCTGTATCTATTTCTTTATATTTTGGTTGTTGTATTGGGCCCCCTAGAAATAATAATTGTAATTTACAACAATTAGTAACAAAAGTAATATTAACCAGAAACATACCACGTAACCTAGCGCGTGTATTTCTTGTGATCCTCATATTCGTTGGAGTTGCTGGTGTCATTGGTTGTTCGAATTGAGATTGGTTCTCAAAATTGCCTGCTTGTTCTTGGTATTGGTGCTGCGATGTACCAGGTGAACTGTAGCTCTCGGACGAATAATGCTCGGGTCTAAATGAAAATAATATTATATAATACAATGTATCGATATTACATAAATTTTCTGAAAGTATAACGTGTTTAAAATAACGTAACATGTAACATGTAACATTATAAAACCACATAAATTGACTCAAGTATATTAAAATTTATATGTAAAATTAATGTAAAACAACATAATGAAACATTTATAATTGTAGATGTGCAACATTATATTTACGTTGGATTATGTATAGGCGTTTGAGGTGTTTGACTATATGGCGTGTAAGTAGAATAAGACTCATTCGCTTCTCCTCCCGAGTTATCGTTCATGGGAGTCATCGGAGTCATTGGTGCCTCATACTCTGGAGGCACTGGGTCATCCATACGTATTCGTTTACCTCCTCTTCTGTGCATCATTTTACACCTCTTCTTATTACTGTCCCTAAAGAATAAAATATTCTGTCAATTTAATAGTTTTAAGAATGATTACTTTCGTCTCAGAAAAATACCGCCAAATGATATTTCGCAATAGAATTTATAAACAAGTGAAATTTTTGACTATTTCAAACCTGTAAAAAAACTCCCCGAGAAGTGCGGGGGTTAGGGAACTTCACGAAGCCTTACGTTTTTATAATTTGTAACTGTATCTAATTCAAATGTTGTGTCTATTCAAGAAAATTGGAAATAGACATTGACAGAATTCTTCAAATAACCCCGGCTTCTTGCGAATACGGCAGTTGGGTTGGTCTCACAATATATACAAATGTGCTCCAATAAACACGATTATTGGTTGTTTATCAAAATATCATAAAACGGACCAATAAGAAAAATGGAATGCATTATGATTAACTTCTCACAACTATATTTACGGGATTAAATTTTACATGTATGTTTTCATTGGGAATTAAAAAAAAAGATATGTATTTTAAAAATATAAATAATATACTTAAACTCTAATATATTGTGACTGTGACATACATTGAAGTAGCATTCGTCCTATAGGTGAATAATCATCTTATAGAATAAAAATATTTAAACTACGTATTTTATGAGAAAAAGACTGGATGTGTAATTATATCACGGTCGTTACATATAAGATATTGTTATAAAATAATTTCCAGTTTAAAAATCGCATACATGAAAATTGGTTTGCTTAGTTTTAATTGGAATTACAAGTAAGTAACACGTGCCGCGTAGAAGGCAATCTATTATCGCTAGTGAAATAATCTGTGGTTAACGGTCTTTGTGTGGGGATGGGAGGCGTGACTAGAGATAAAGTTATCAAATCACGACAGGGATTCGTCACAAAATATAAACGAATTTTCAAATAGAACTTCGTCAAGTTCAGGTCTTAAACGTACGCGCTTTCTCTACAATTTGTCAAAAGTACAATGGATTCGTACGAAAGCGTATTACTCGTAAAGTCTGAAGTATTTGTGTTTAAAATACCGCCAAGGTCAACGAATAGGGGTTATCGGTATGATTGATTCTTTTTCACAATATTTTCTTTACAAATATTTAATTTCTGTACAAAAACAGCTCACGTAAAGGCATGGTTGTACATGATATATTTTACTTCGTTGTCAAAGAAACGATGATACCGTGTGTTTTTCGTAATTTTCAATCTCGTACAACTAATACGTCAGCAAAAGTTATACCGGAAAGTGTTGAAAGAATAACATATTATTGTTACATCTGGAACAGAAAGCTGTCAAATGTAACTTGTAGACGACCATAATGATTTAATTCAAAGTTATTATATTTTTATAATATTCTAATAATTTAATTCTATTAAATAAAAAAGTTTCTTTATCTTGAAATAGCATAAAAAAATGTTACTTTCTATCTAGACTAATCCGAATAACAAGATACACTTAACTTAATATTTAACTATAAGTTTTTTCTGTATGTGTGTGCGTGTGTGTGTCTATAGAGCAGCTGATTGGAATCTCCAAGAGCCATCATGGACTGGCCGTATGCGTCTTGTATCTCAAGGAAATTTAATAACTATAAAGCTTGAAGATAAAGTTACTGGTGATTTATTTGCCGAATGTCCAATCGAGCAATATCCAGGAATTGCGGTTGAACCAGTCACAGATTCTTCTCGTTATTTTGTTCTGAGAATTCAAAATGATCATGGACTGTCTGCTTTTATCGGTGTTGGATTCTTAGACAGATCGGATAGTTTTGATTTAAATGTTGCGCTTCAAGATCATTTTAAATGGCTAAAAAAGCAAGAACAGATAGAAAAAGAAAAGGATGAACCGAAACAGGAGTTAGATCTTAGATTCAAAGAAGGGGAGACAATTAAAATCAATATGAAAATCACTGTAAGATCATTTAATTATTCAACAGATGTAAATACTATAATTGAAGGAAATGCGATAAAATTTTTATTTTGATGTGTAGAAGAAGGATGGCAGTGAAGTTACATCCAAAGCAAAGCAGCGTGCTAATCCGGGTATAGGTTTACCTCCTCCACCAGGCGGTGTAAAAATTGCACCGCCACCTGCTAAAACTCCAACTTCGTCACCTGCGCATAAACCTGTTCAGAGCCAGAACCAAACGACAAGTTCAGAATGGGGAGAATTTGCTAGTGCATCGCAACCTCCGGCTCAACAACCACCGACAATAGGCAATGCCAGTTGGGTGCAATTTTAACTCGTTACAAGTTGTATTAAAATTTAGTATATTTGTGCTGTAGAATTGTAGGCTATGCATACATATATTAATTTGTATGTCACTATGTGCATACTTATGCGCATAAATATCTTTTAAGGGTAATTATTGACAAAGATGTTTCTATGTATATAGTAAATTAACTACAATATTTTTAGACCATAACCTTTACTGTATCATATATTATAGTATTTACGAGTTTCTATAAATTTCTGTGTTAATTTAGTTGCAAAACCAGTTATATACAATAGATTCACATAGATAAATAAATTACTTGATACATGTTCCCATTTAAATGGAAGAACACGTGAAAGTAATTGAAACTTTAAAAACTTGAATTTTTCGCTCAAAATGTAGGATATATTTCTGTCAAGATTATTACTGTTCTGTGTTACAATATAAAGTAAGGTAATTACCACATCGTTACAATTTAACTTTGTTTTCCTGCTATTTGTATTTGTTACTATAATATTAGTAGCAAAAAAATGTACATATAATTACAGATTTCATTTAGACGAATTATTTTAAAAAATGAGTGCAATACTCATATTTTTTATATAAGTGAATATGAGATAAGTTTAGTGCCTTGTACAGATGTCTTTAAAAGATGAGATAACCTGAATTACAAAAACAGGTAGTGAACACACTGAATAAATAAAAAATAATGCAACTTTATGATATCCAAGTACGAAATTCCATCGATGACAGAGTTTTATTATTAGCGCAGTATTAAACATAGAATGCAATAAAAACGATCGCAGTATTTTCTATTGCATGGATACATTCTTTGTTAAAACCCTTAAAGGAGTATAAATTACATATGGTGTATGCAGTCTTAGTTAATATTTGTTTCTGGTGTTTGTACATAAAAGAAAAATTAATGAGGCTAATGCTGAAATAAGGCCTAATGCTGTAGGTGTTTGAAATTGTTAAATTAGGTTTCGATTTTGCAAGTTGAGATAAAAAGATTTTTTGTCCTATCACCCAGTTATATCGTCAAATATAAGATTTTTCTATTGTATTTTCGTACTATTTAGAACAACACTTTAAAACTTATTTTACACCGATATAAATTTCAATTAAATATTTTTTTAGTTAAGTAATATTTAGAATAAAGCTTGTAAAAATGATGTGCTCTAGAATGCATACAAAATAAACAAAGGTAAAACATTATTGTTTTACATTTAAAGACATTGTTATATAAAAACATAGAAAAGATATTGTATTCAATGAACATAGAGAGTAATTTATATTCGAAATAAGGGGAGAATAAATTTGTTACATATCTTTATTTGCAAAGAAGTTAAATGTTTCATGTATATATTAAGAATAATTATCTAAAGATGATATCAAATCATGAATAGCATGACTGTAAATTATCTACAGATATAAACGTTAATCTTTTTGCGTGATTGGAATAAGTGAACGAATTACTTATATACTTTTAGTGTCATTGTATATTGTAAATGATGCTAAGTGACATTGTTAATAATATCTATGTTAATATTTAGCACGATTACGAAAATGTATAATTCCGCAAATTACATTCCGTTCTTAACTTATAAAGAAATTATTACACAATATACACATATACATATATGCATATATGCATATATATACAGTATATAGTGTGCAGTTCTTCTTGTTGCAGTAAATGAAAAATGCTGTTGTTTTCTATTGTATATTTTCATTTGTAGATATAATAAATTGCATAATTATTAATATACTAAATAATTATTAAAAATCATATTACAAATAATACTTTGTAGATAGATAAATGATAACAGCAGTTGGAAATTTTAGTCTATCACAAGATTATTAATTTTCTTAGCGAACAATCAACAACGTTTGTTACGAGTAACATTAAGCCGTAGACTACGCATTGCCATAGCGCGACTAAAATGACGTGGAACTGGACGTTGAAGTTGCCCATTAACTAGACTAGAATCTTCATTACATTCCACATTGCTTAGAACTACTAAAAGTACTCCAAGCACCTGCAAAATTATGCATAATTATTCGTACTATTTGTCTCAATATAAAGTATAGTAATATCTATAGTGAAATGTACTTTTTAACCCTTATCTTACATACCAAACATATAATTATCAGTAATGTATAGGTATGTATACTCGCAGCCGGAAGCGACTCTACTTCTCTTAGAGCTTCGGCTACTTCAGAAAGGTCTGGTTTTAATTCCAGAGCATGTCGGAAGTGTATAGCTGCTTCTTGATAATGACCATATGCCTACAAAGAATGAAATGATAATGTTGTAAATGTTAAGACTCTAAAGGCATCATAATGAAACTATTCCAATATTCTTTAATTCATTTTCTTTTTATATATATAAATAAATGATATACATAGAAAACGCAAGTACAAAAATGTAAAAGATATTTTCTTTCTCGCATAAAGTATATTGCCAGTAGAGTTTTGCAATGGATGGGATAGATGGCTCGTTGTTAGATTATCGATTGCGTTCACCCATTCTCTCGACCGGGACCTCGATATCATCTGATCGAAACGTTCCGATCAGATGTTGGGCTAGCGGATCCTATTTGAAACAATTGATTCTGCTCGAGGGAACAGGCGAATGGGATCGATGACGTAACGACTGGGTCAGCTATTTCGTTCATTGTAAAACTCTTAACTTCCAGTAGTAGAAAACAAAATATATTACTAGAATTTAAAATTACTTTGAATATTTGACCAAGCGTAAGATATTGTTCCCATGCATTCCGATCTGGAGGTTGCAATTCTAAAGAACGTCTTGCTAAATACGTTGCGTCGTCCAAGTATTGTTGAACCAATAACACTCTAGCCAAATTTAACAAAACTTCTGCATTTTGTGGCGATACAGCAAGCGCTCGTCGAAAACATTCAATTGACCTTCGTGCATCTCCTTTTATACGCCAAAAATTTCCTATTTGATTATAAAGTTGAACAGATTTCGGTTTCTATAGAAAAATTCAATAAAATATATTGTATATCTGTACATCTGTTTACTTTCTTACAAGCATATAGTATTTTCTAATGGCTATGCTGTACCTCTCGTTTAGCTTTTATTAATCGTTTTTCTAACAAATCAATATCAATATCTATACTTTTGCTACCATTCTTCTTAAACATAAGTATAACATTAGGTTCTGGAACTAGTGGATGTTTATCTCTGTCTGCAATGCCAACCAAGTTATCATAATAAGAATAATTAACAGACTTTCCACAGTCTAGGATTACATCCTCGCACTGTTGACCAGAAGTACACATGACTTGCTCGCCTGATACTTGAGATGACAGAGGAAAGGACTCGGTAGCGTTTGGTGTATCCTTCAACACGTATGACGAGAATCGTCTGCCAAGGGGACCAAAGTTAGGGCTTTTTTAACGCTGAAAGAACAGTAAGCCACACACAAATACTAACTACAGGAAGAAAAAGAAAATTATGTCTGATTAATCGTAACAATTATTCAAAACAAAATCTAAATTATTTTAAAAATAATTGTAATAACAAAAATATATTAAAACAATAAGTAGATAGAATTCAACATATTTTTTAAATTAATTAAAAATGATCACATATTGGCTCAATATCTGTAAATCAATTTTCGATTTTTCGGTTTAATTACCTTCTTTAGAATTTGAAGATTCAATACGTTCTTATATACATATCTCACAACTTATGAAAGAAAAAACATCATTGCTGAACATGCACAATAGCTAACTATTAAGTGTACACATACATTTTAAGTAAATGATAATTCAACTTTAAAACATGCAGTATCGATTACTTTTTGTATCTACAAGTATAATGATTTTTTTCATTGTAAAAACTACTATAGCATATTATCCAACATAAGAAATAAGTTTAAATACAAATTACGATGTTATTTAATATTCAGTAGTTTAAGGGTATTAACGTTGTTATGCATATATTAAACATTACATATCTCAAATACGTAAACCGTTTATTTATTGCAATGTCGTTGAAGCATTTCTTATTTTGATATTGAAGCATGATAATAGTTACACAATGGAAAACAAATAATTCCAAATTTTAATATCATAAATTTCGGTATGCTTGAACACAAAGTCATAAGCACCAATGATCTATTTTGTCAATAAAATTTTGCATGATATCAATTTAACATTCTAAGAGAAGGTACGTTTCTCTGTTCTTACCCAGAATTAACCAGATTTGCATGGTTTCTTACCGTTCATGGTTTCCAGAAAGAACATTTTTGCAGTCTTGGCAGTAAGGCTTCTCGTGTTTTTCAAAAACAGCAGTTCTGCTCCAAGTTTGTCCATCGCCAACACTGATACTACTCGCCAGGATATCGAAAATAGGATCATCCTCAATCGTGCTCACAAAGTCTGTTGTTTTAACGACTTTGTCAGCACTGAGTCTCCACGAGGTCCTTGAGTTCGTGAGTTTTGCCTGGAGTATCAGAAAGCAAAATAGATAGCCAACGACACGACCGTCGACCCCAATAACTTGCATTCTCCCGCTTCACGAAAACCGATTGAACACGTTAGTAACTCAGAAAAATCGTCTGCTTCTACCAAAGAAAGATGATTTAGATTTTCAATCAGATGACTGTTTTCTCTAGGGATTATTGAACTAACTGCCAACATTTCTGACTCGCTACTACAATGTCTCTAGTAATTTCAAATGCCTTCTTACATTTCATTTTTTGATTAAAATTTACTCTCGAACATTACGATTTATTTTTGAAAAATAGATTTAGAAACATTAATAGTTATTAAAGCTTTTGTTTTTTATCTAGGAGGAATAAAACACAAGATATAAAAGTTACCAAGTTCTATTTATCCCTTCCCCTTCATAGTACGCAACTTGATTTACGTGCGAAATATTTGGCGGTCGCACAATGTACTACTTAGGTTGCGTTTCGTTTTTACCGGCTATTCGTAGTCCAGCCACTGTATTGTGTAAATGATGTGATTAATAGAAAACCAAAAGCACGGCTACAAGAGTGTATCGAAATGATTTTTCTACTGTCAGTGCTATTACTTCAGAACGATCCAATAGCACGTTAATGGTTTGTTTTGGTCACATTGGCAAATTACAACGATTATTACAATACTTAATTATTATAAAACAGTACATATTGCTTTTGTATAACCACAGACGAGGTATACGAGTAGACTTTTCACCTTATGGATTTTCGTGGCCCAATCTGACTACCATACCGACCTCAACATTCGGGGGTGATTTTAGCGGCCTCTTCTCATGGATGACGGTCATTTGAGAAACTATTCACTGAATTAGCATTTATGGGCAGCAGTTGTAGCGTGTGCGTAAATGTACATGTGAGTGACTATGGAACGGATTAAAAAACACAATTTTCAAACGACCATAACAATTGCAATCATTTTTGGTACATACACATACCTTCGAAATCCTACGTAAGTACATACTTTCGAGAAAAAAATTCTTTACCGAAAATAGAATATAAAGCCCCAGAAAAATGGACCGAAAAAATACATTGGGTGAAAGGTTTCCTCGTATACCTCGTCTGCGATGGTATACTTTGCTTATGTGCGCCTACATAGGTCGGAAAGTAAAAAGCAAATGTGAGCATTCCTCTCTCGACTCCCACGAGCCACCTCCGAAATTACTTCGGGCAGCTCCGGAGAATCGAGAAAGAGGGCATGTGTCAGTTTGCCTTTGTCGACTCTCCGAAACTCGTCCGAGCTCACGTAAGTACGCGTGATCTGGCATAGTATGAAAAAGCGGAATGAGGTGTCCTCGGTGCATCCGGGACTCCATCTGGCATCTCGGACCGGTCTGCCGTGTCTGGTAACACTGATTATGAGTTAAGGTAACGTTGGTGACTTTTTCCTTACCCCGGGGTCACGCAAGCGTTGAAACGACATCCGTTTTTATGTTTTTCCTTGTCTTATAATTGAAAACAATCAAGACTGACATAGACTGGTCTTGTCTGCCTTGGAGAAAATCTGTTGAGTTTGTTAATATTCTTTTGCATAGATGTCGTTACAGGATTTATTTCGTTTGAAATTTCAGAAGTCGCAGCCGTTTTTTGTATTATCATTCTATCGTGCAAGGTTTCTATTTTTAAGAAATGGATCTATATGCCAATTTTGTTATCTCGATGATAATGCTTTTTAATTGCCTGTTATTTCAGATTATGTACCGATGATAAGGGAACATGGTTTTTGTCGTTACCTCGTAAGATACCGTGTCAATCGTCAGCGTGGAAAGAAACAGGAACGATGACACGGAAAAAGCATACTAGAAGCGTGGAGATTCGCTAAACGTATACATACTCATCACATTGCCCACCAAGTGCCCCACCACGGCCGCTGTTCCCGATCATGTCACGTGATTCACGTGTTAGTTTAAGGTTAACCAATGACACATGCGAGCAACGGCCAGTTCAGCACCAGTCGAGTAACGGCCTTCTATTTGAGTGGATCTTTGTTGTTGTCCGACAAATTGAACAATTGAAAATTAATGAAGCGTTTACGTGCTGAAAACTAGATAGGATTATTCTCTTGGCACGTAAGTGATACGACATGCCGAATCAATAATTTTCCTCTACTTTCTTTTGACTTATTTTCAACACGGACCATCAATTGAATCAAAGCTCTATCGTTTCTGTGAAGAAGGGAAGGGAGGGAGGGGTAACGCGGAAATATATCACGATTGACTGAGCGTCGAACGCGATTCAATTAACGCTAAATGAATCATTATTGACGGTTTGTAGCAATACAGTTTCGTCGATTGTACGTAATTTCGAAACATTATATTCTGTTCTGTCATTATATAAGTTGCATGTGATTTACGAATTTCTTTCTTATCGTGAAATATTTACCTCGGTGACGTGTGTACAAAGGCAAATTACGTTTCTTACAATTGTAATTGAGATAATCGTGTACAGATTAGATCGAACATGTATTCAATGTATGATTAACTTCAATGAAACTCACCGTTACGATTGCGAATTTTTACCTGATTGAACAAGGTAAGATTAATTAACAAGTACTTATGAACATTTTGCTAATCCTAATTATTTTTAAATAACTCGATTAACAGATAAATCAAAATATAAATTTTTGATAAAATCTTTGCAAACGAACGTGTTTTTGTAGCGAATCAAGTTTGAAAATGCATAAGGCGCGCCGCGTTTAGCCAAACGAATTTTTTCACAAATTTCTATTTATGTTTATGCGTAAAGTAAGAAGTTATAAGAGTTAATATATACGAAGAAAATGTAATTTAATTTGTAATTTGTACATTGAATATCGCGCTTAATGACGCTTGTTCGGTGCACGTTAGCGATTCTTTTTAATTCCTTCCGAAAACGTATCCTATATGGTGCGTTTCAAACGAGGAAATGTGACTTGCATTGATTCAAATTTTTACCTTTTCAAATGCCTAAACACATTTTTCTTTTAATTATTTATTCTATATAAATATCTATACTGAAATTCTTTCAATAGAAATTTCATCGATTACGCGCCATGCCCCGCGTATTTCCAAAATTAGTTTTCTTATTTCCAATTTATTTCATTGAAAGTATGTAATCGCTTTGGTCTGTACGATCATATTTTAAGGCAGCTTGTATAATTGTGGAAGAATCCAATATAGTTTTTATGATTCTATGCAATATTATGTTCAAAGAAACAGTTTGCTCGATAATTGTGTAATTTCTTAAGAAATGAGGTCAATATTGTTTTCTTTGTACTTTATATGAAATAAAGTTAAAAGGAAAAATTGCGAGGAATCACAGAACTGTTTGGTATTGAGCAATTAGCTAGGTATAGTGTTTGTTATCAATTTATGGCTTTTGTGACACACACACACACACACACACACACACAACACACGCACGCACACACGCGCGCACACACACGCACCCACACACACACACACACACAACACACGCACACTTACACATATACTCGCGAAATGTATCATTTGTACCAACAACTCTAAGCAATTAAGTAATAAGTAAAGTTAAGCAGAATATACGATTTAGGTAAATAAATTAATGCTCTTGCGAAATTATTGCTTCTGTAATACAGTGCGATAAGTGGATTTTCTATCTATTAAATCAATTTGTAATTGTCGTAGATGATTAGATAATCTTGCCTTTTATACGATATTATATATACATTTAAGAAACATTAGTTTGTATAATCTAATTATGTTTCCATTTATAAATAGTAAGCAATATCAGTAGAAAATTATGGCCGATTGTACGATCATGATATATTTTATATTTACTTATCAAACTTATCATGGTGTATATTGTTTTTCATGATAAGTACATCCTTCGATGTTAAAATAAAAATTGCTTGTTTATTCTAAGAATTATGTTTTGCTAAACAAGAAACAAATTATATTGTTGTTTACCATTTATGGAGTCATAAAGGAGCTAGAATATTATTGGAACATTAATCTCGACGAGTGTAAACAGGCTTTTACGAGTCTGACTTTGACCTTCTTTTTTATCAAGTCATTGTACTTGATTTTTTTTTACATTTTATGCATTTGTAGTTCCTTGCTGAAAATGTATGCAAACATTAAAAAATAAAGCAATAATTAAATTTCTGTTATAACTTATTTAAAGATAAAGTATTTTATGAAAAGTACAAGATCATTATTGTTATCAATCTTTTACAGAAAAAGATATATACCTTTTTATAATTTCTTAAAGAGATCGATACGCTTGTTTTTGTTGTCATTCGTTTAGATTATAACAATTTGTTTATGTATAATACCTGAAAATTTAATTTAAAGCATATACTTTATTCAGAATGCATTTACAACATTTTGCATTATTTGTACATAAATATTTTACAGCTGGAATAAGTAAATAGATGCAAAATTATCATGGATGGAAAAGTAAAAGCAGAAAGAGTGAAGAATCCATTGGAAGGAGCAAATCCTCTTAGTGCCTTAACATTTTCGTATGTTTTACAAAATACATGCTTTGTTATTTTTATCTCTTGCTACTGTCTGTTAATAGAAATATTAAATTAACGCGACGAATGGGCTATGCTTTAAAAGTACCTTTGTAACAGACGCAAATAAGCCTTCTGTAAATAAGGGAAGAACTATCTTCAAATTCTTTATCAGACAAATAGATAGACTTTTCCATATGTTTATTACTTTGATACGTTATCTATTAGTATTCTTACATAGAACAGTTTAGAGCAAGTTCTTAGTTATCTTTATACGATTGTCATTGATAGTAAATGCTTAGAATCAAAGATAATTCTTCCGCCTTGGAATGTTTTGTAGAATCATTGAATCAAAGATAGCAAAAATTAAAAAAAGTTATTGATGTAGTATTATCTTGTTCATAATACTAAAAATATATTTCATAAAAACATTATTTACTATAATAACAAAAATTTATGTTTCTTACTAGCTGGATTTTACGTACTTTTTGGGTGGGTTATCGGAAAGAGTTAGAAATGGAGGATTTGTGCAGACCCCTTAAGGAACACACAAGCAGTATCTTAGGTAACAAGATAACAAAGGCTTGGGAAGAGGAATACGAAGCATATGAAAAACGCAAATTACTAAGCGAAGAAAAAGAAAATGGATCTAAGAAATATAATGTGAAAAAAAAGTTAAGGGAGCCCAGTTTAACAAAAGTTCTTGCGAAATGTTTTGGTCCACGATTATTGGTTTATGGTTTAATTTTAGCAGTTATGGAAATTATGCTCAGGTATGTATTTAAGATATGACGCGTCGTTTAATTTGACAAATTGTTATTATTATTATTATTATTATTAATATAGAAAGTTTTATGGTACCTAGTACAGTTGTTAAAAATCTTTCTATTACCTATTCAGATTATCATAGCCCATGTTTCTTGGCCTTCCGATCCGTTACTACAATCAGACGAAACATAATCGCTCTCTATCGAAACATGGTGTATCACTGTCCAGATTATACAATTCTTCCAATTCGCAAGTTCATGAAAATGAAGATGCGACGAGATCATTAAGTTCCGAAACCCCTTGCATCCGTGTATCTACTAATTCTCTTACGCTTCTTATTTTTTACAAGTTTGAGTCTTTTCTAACTTGAACCTTTAAGAAATCTAACGAGCCTCATAAGTAAAGTTTTTAGTACGTTCGGTATTCTGAGAATAATTAGTAACCAATTTGCAACGCATTATTGTTGCAGCAATAGTAATTTATAATAGCATTTTGAGCATGCTATTTGTGAGGTTACAGTTAAATTTAAATACTAACCGTGTATAATTTTGTGTACAGGGTACTACAACCAATATTCCTTGGTCGACTATTGAAATACTACGGACCGGACAAAATAACAAAACAAGAAGCTTATTATAACGCGACTGGTGTAATTTTATGTTCAGGGATATTAATATTTGTTATTCATCCGTACATGATGGGCATTCTTCATATGGGAATGAAAATGCGGGTGGCATGTTGTTCATTAATATATAGGAAAGCACTGAAACTCTCAAGAACAGCTTTGGGTGAAACGACAATAGGACAAGCAGTCAATCTCCTCTCGAATGACGTTAATAGATTTGACGTGGCAATTTTATTTTTGCATTATTTGTGGATTGGACCACTAGAGACCATTATCATTATGTATTTTATGTACAAAGAAGTCGAAGTATCCGCTTTTATCGGGATCGCAACGCTTTTAATGTTTATTCCCTTGCAAGGTACAGAATATTAATAGTTTTACACTCGCGAGAGATATTCTTTTATTGTATGTTACGCCGTCGTATTCTTAAAACGTGTGCAGGGTATTTGGGTAAAAAATCCTCTATACTGCGACTGAAAACTGCCATAAGGACTGACGAAAGAGTTCGATTAACGAACGAAGTTATTAGTGGTATTCAGGCAATCAAGATGTATACTTGGGAAAAACCGTTCAGTGGTTTGATCGAGAAAGCGAGAAGGTAATTTTGCACACGACTAAAATTCCCCCAAGTTTCTATTCGTAAATGAGCAATTTTTTCTTTGTACTATTTCAGGAGAGAAATAAACGTAATACGAGCCACATCTTGGATCAGAGGCGTTACCATGTCTTTCATTATATTTACTACAAGAATATCACTTTTCATTACTATATTGGCGTACGTTCTATATGGTATTAAAATAACTGCCGAGAAAGTATTTATGTTGACGGCGTACTATAATGTCTTACGTCAGGCTATGACTGTTTTTTTTCCACAAGGTAGGTGTAATTGTATAAACGTGTACCACTAGAATGAGAATTAACCGAAGCGTTGATAAAACCATAAATGTTACAGGGATAACACAAATAGCGGAAGCACTCGTTTCCATAAAACGTTTGGAGAAATTCATGTTGTACGAGGAAATTGAACCTTCAAACGATAAGGAAGAAACGAACAAAGAAGAATTAAAGGATCCAGTCAAGTACAAAATTGATATTAACAATATAATAAAAGAAGGAAATATCGTTAAAGACGATAAAATTAATACGAATAATTATCAGGAAGATAGTATTGTAATTCTAAAGAATGTTAGTGCCAAGTGGTTTTCGTACGAAGAGGGAGACGACACATTGAAGAATATTAATATCAGCATAAAACCGGGCGAATTGGTTGCTATCGTTGGTCAAGTTGGTGCCGGTAAAAGCAGTCTGCTCAATGTATTATTAAAGGAATTGCCTGTACATACCGGTTCTGTAAAGGTTCGTATTGTACATATATTTTATTTATGCGGCTGGAAAATTAGTAGCTATACGTTTTAAAATTATTGTCTAATTTTTTGTAGATAAACGGTAAGCTAGCATATGCTAGCCAAGAACCGTGGCTGTTCGCCGGCTCTGTTAGGCAAAATATTCTATTTGGCAGGAAAATGGATCAGTTACGATACGATCGCGTGGTTAAGGTATGCCAATTAAAAACGGATTTTACACTGCTGCCGTACGGCGATAAAACAATAGTGGGCGAAAGAGGAATCAGTTTGTCGGGCGGGCAACGTGCTAGGTTGGTAACTAAATAGATTATTTCGTCATGACCCCTCGTTAAACACATTCGAGGTTAACGTATTATTACTCGATTATTCCCAGTTGTCGGCGTCGGTTTTTGCGATTCGATTCTACTAGCCCATCTGCTACGTCATCGGCTAAACGTATGAGATATTGCATGATTCATAGAGTGAGTCAGTCGAGACGGTCTCGAGTGTGTTAACGAAAATGTAGATAATGTAGATAATGCGCGCGCAGGTCTATCTGATCAATCGATTCGTACATTCAGGATTAATTTAGCCAGAGCGGTATACTCGGAAACTGACATGTATTTATTGGACGATCCTTTGAGCGCCGTGGACGCTCATGTTGGCAAGCACATGTTTGAAGAATGTATCGACAAGTACTTGAGAGGAAAAACTAGAATTCTTGTTACCCATCAGTTGCAGTACTTACGAAACGTCGACAGGGTAATAGTTTTAAAAGACGGAGCGATACAAGCAGAGGGGTGGGTAGATTAAATTTACGTTTTCTATTACCTTCAAATAGGACAATTACTTAAATTTTCTCAAATAATATTAAATATTTCTATATTGATCAGTTTGTTTACCATCGTAGCTCTTACGACGAATTAGCCACCATGGGAGTTGATTTTGGAAGGCTGTCGGAGAATCAAGCAGCCTTAGAGATGGAACGATCAGCGTCTGCTGCTCCGAGCAGAAGCAATTCTCGGAATGCCAGTATTACATCGTTAAGTTCATACGGTAGCAATATCACCGACTCGGTGGACCCGGTCGAGGTAAAGAAAATTCACGCTTCCTTCCCGTTACGAATGTTTCCCGTTTGCAATGTTTTCCGAAATTTGCTTATAGGTAGCCGAAGCGCGTACAAGAGGCAAGGTTTCCGGCAAAGTATATTCAGGATATTTCCGGGCCGGTGGGAATTCGTGTGTCGTGTTTGTAGTTGGTTTGTTTTTCGTACTGACACAAATGGCGGCCAGCGGTGGAGATTATTTCATTTCTCAGTGGGTCAATATGGAAGAGAAATACGTACGTATCCGTTAGAGATTTAGCTTATTTTTAAATTGTCACGATTGAATTGCAACGATCGAATATGATTTTATTTAAAGGTGAATGGATCGAATGGTAATCTAGTCATAAACTGGGAGAGCCCGATATCACGTCAGATGTGCATATATTTGTACAGCGGTTTGACCATTTTCACAGTAATAATAACTTTAACGCGTTCGTTCGCATTCTTCACTGCGTGCATGAGAGCATCTAAACGGCTGCACGATTGCATGTTTGAAAACATTAGCCGTGCAACGATGCGTTTCTTCAACACGAACACGTCGGGACGTGTTCTTAATAGATTCTCCAAGGACATGGGCGCCATAGACGAAATGTTGCCACTCGCGCTGATCGATTGCTTGCAAATTGGTCTGACTCTGATCGGAATCATAGTAGTGGTCGCGATAGCCAATCCATGGTTATTGATACCCACGCTGGCCATCGGAATACTCTTTTATTACATTCGTGTGTTTTACATAGCCACCAGTCGTAGCGTGAAAAGACTCGAAGGAATCAGTAAGTATATCTATCCTCCCCCTCTCGTAATCGTTTAACCTATTACTCGATTCTATCGTTTCTAACGCGTACGAAAAAATGAACATTTCAAACGTGTGACCAATTGTGTGATAATAAACTAATTGGCAGCCCGATCGCCGGTGTTTGGTCATCTGAACGCTACTCTGCAAGGGTTGCCAACCGTACGAGCATTTGGAGCACAGGAGATTCTCACCAAGGAATTTGATCAACATCAAGATCTCCACTCGTCAGCGTGGTTCATGTTCATAGGATCCTCGAGAGCGTTCGGATTTTGGCTTGATCTTTTCTGCGTGTTGTACATCGTCTTGGTGACTTATAGTTTCCTGTTTCTCATGGACGATTCCTCTGGCGGCAACGTCGGATTAGCCATAACGCAAAGCATTGGGTTGACGGGAATGTTCCAGTGGGGTATGCGACAAAGCACCGAGTTGGAGAATCAAATGACTTCCGTCGAGCGTGTGTTGGAATACAGGTACATTATAGTACACGTAATAGGAAAATGTTTAAGGAGTAAGACCCGATCTTGAACCTGTCCGAAAGCAACTTGTCGTTGAAAAAATTTCTTTTCTTCTTTCAAGTAGAAGGTGTGTATCGTTTGAAATGTAGCGTATGATTGTTTAGAAATTTGATCGTTGTTTGTTTTAATAGAAAAATCGAATAGTTTTTAATAAGAGAAATTTTCTTTAAAAGTGTTTTGTTGTCAAGTTGTTTTCACACAGGTGTAAGGGTGATGGACATACATATGTATATCTACGTATGGTTTTTTCTTTTTTTTTCCAGCAAAGTAGAGAGCGAACCACCGCTCGAAAGTGCGCCAGATAAAAAGCCGAAGGAAGATTGGCCCCAGGAAGGAAAGGTTGAATTTAAACAAGTGTCGATGAGGTACGATCCGGCAGAGTCTCCGGTGTTGAAGAATCTGAACTTTATAATTTATCCTCAAGAGAAGATCGGTATAGTCGGAAGAACAGGTGCTGGAAAATCGTCTTTGATCTCGGCTCTCTTCCGTCTCGCGGATCTCGAGGGTGTCATCTTGATAGACGGTGTGAATATCACCGAGATAGGTCTTCACGATTTACGTTCAAAGATCAGCATAATTCCGCAAGAACCGTTTTTGTTCTCGGGTTCGTTGAGAAAGAACTTGGATCCTTTCGACAGTTACAACGACGATATGCTTTGGCAAGCGCTGGAAGAGGTCGAAATGAAAGAAATAGGTCTGGACGGTCACGTGAACGAGGGCGGCTCGAATCTAAGCGTGGGACAGCGTCAGCTCGTGTGTCTGGCTCGCGCAATCGTGAAAAACAATCCTATTCTCGTTCTCGACGAGGCTACGGCGAACGTTGATCCACGAACCGACGAATTCATTCAACTGACGATTCGGCGAAAGTTCGCGAAATGCACGGTCTTTACCATCGCGCATCGGCTCAATACAGTCATGGACAGCGATCGTATTTTAGTGATGGATGCTGGCAGCGTCGTGGTAAGTTGGTTTTTTTTCGCAAAAGCGTTGACAACTAGATTTAAATACGGTTCGATAAGGATAACGTCGAACGTTGATACTTGTTCGATCGTAGGAATTCGACGCACCTCACGTGTTGCTACAAAAGGACACTGGATATTTGACGAAGATGGTGAACGAAACTGGATCAGCAATGGCGGAAGCCTTGAAAGAAGTTGCTCGCGTAAGCTACCAGAATCGAACGTCGACTGCTCTTTGATGATCGTGCAACGAATTTGCTAATTTCCAAATTGGATCGTCCCGTTATTACGGGCTATATTATATGTATATTTTCTAGTTTTACCGGGCAATTTTTTGTACGAGTGTTTGTTGCGTGGGCAAATATCGTCGTCGGACCGATTGCTAGAATCGTTCGTTGGTGGATAACGATGTCTTTGATCGATCGTGATTTATCGTCTTGGGGATTTTTTCACGACCGGATGTCGCGTTCCTGAGCACAGTATTATTACATAGATTTTTGTAAACAACTGCCTTTTGTACACAGATGTCGTTTTACTATGAAAACCGTAGCCATAAAAAGTCGTCGCGAGACTGGTACTTACTTAATCCTATGTACATTACGTAGCACAGTTTAAGAAAGTAATCCTTGTACCAACCTTGCTCTATTGTTGTAACGTTTAAATAGTTTCTGTCTGTATGCAGGATATTCGATCATATTGTTGTCCTTACGTTGGTGCTGTAACTACAAAAGTGATACACGTCGAGAGGTCGGGTGTCTTTACTTTCTAAGATGGATTATTTTTACCGATCCGTGTGCTATAGTATATTGAAACAGTTTTTTTTATTAAAACGTCGAAGATGTACTTGATGATTTATGTATGTACATAGTTGTTACCGAAGGAATTCGCGAGCCGAAGTTTTTCAATGTTCTGCCTGCGTCGCAACCTGTTCTACGTGTAAGATACGCTTAAACGAACGAGAACCGCGTTATCGATAGAAACAAACCGCTTGGCCACTTTCTACTTGGCGTCGAAGAGTAAATTCTTCCTAAGCAAGCTTCGAGGGATTCGTCTCCCAAGTATCGTTTCGCGTTCTGTTTCCTTCTTCGTCCAACAAGTAAGCGTATATTGTACTTTTAGGTGAAAACAATTGCCTTACGTACAAGTGCCTATGTAATTTTATTATTACAAATGAAAAATATAAATCTAGAGCATTATTTATGTTAATAATACAATGTGTGTGTATGTGTGTGTATGTGTGTGTGCGTGTGCGTGTGTGCGTGTGTGCGTGTGTGCGTGTGTGCGTGTGTGCGTGTGCGCGCCTTAATTTTCTTCCTTAAACGGCTTCCCACCATCTAATTATTTGTTAGATCTCTTGAACGAAGATTGATCGTACAACGAACACGTTTTTACGTAACAATTAATCGGCAGTGGTTGCAGCATATTCACAAAGTGTAATTTATTTTTTACAACAAGATAAAAAGTAACGATCCGAGGATTTCAGTAAATATAAATAGTCTTGTTTATTACGAACAACCATCAACCTTTGTTCGCCGCGAAGAGAAACGGACGAACGCGGACCTTTGCTTTCTCGGTCTTTCAAGGACCACCTTACGAATTTGGTAGAAATGCGCGTGGGTAACCCCGACATTACGCGACTGTGGACAATGTCGCGGTCGGACGCCTGTAAGATGCAACAGTTCGGATAGTCCGACATACTCGATTATAATTATTTTTGGTTACCGCACCCCGACGGTAACAATAATGTGGATGACGAAAATTGTTTTTCGTTACGAGTAACAATTATCGATCACGAGAATATAAATTCGTTACGAATAACCATTATAATCGATGGAAATAGTTACGAATAATCATCAAAGACAACCAGAACTTTATTTTGGTTACGCGTGATCCTTTTAATAATAAGAATAATTAACGACAGTCAGAAGTAAGTAAAATGCTGATAGTCGATAGCCAACTGTGTGTAGAAAAAAGGCTGTCCAAAGCTGTGGGGGAAGGTATTGCATCCGCCGCCGGCTCCCACAGCATGAGCCAACCTCACCTCCACGCGGTGGACGCTGGGCAACGGCGTTGCCGGCTAACGAGGCTCTGGCTAAGCAAATATGGATCGAGAGTACAGTCGTGGGACAGGAATCCATGCTTCCAGGGTGAGATAAGACTCTAGAATAAAAGTCCTTAGAGTGCAGTAATGGGCTTGGAGTGATCAAGGCTCGGTGGTTAGTAGTTTCAGGTCGTGTAACTTGGCAGTGGTGAAAATGCACTCAACACCGCTGGGATAGGCACATAGCCTCACTCGGTACAGCAGAGTAGGCCGGCTCCAGCTGTATTCCTCGACTAGCACACGACAATGGAAGACAATAACTGTCTGTAGATAAAAAATAAAATTTTAATCGTCGAATATGGTTGTTTGTAACTAATATAAAATTCTGGTAATCAATAACGGTTTGCTCGTTATAAAAAACTATTTCCGTTAATTATACTTGTTATTGATAGTTTGGTTGGTCGTAACCAAAAGGAATATTTAAAAAGGTAACGATTATATTTGAATGTTGTCTCTGATTTTGGTTGACGGCCGATACACGCGACAGCCCACCCACGCACTCGTACGCGTCAGTCAGATTTCTCAGAGCTAGAACTGATTCGCAGCGAAAACACGTCTCGAGCGTGTTCCGTATCGTGCGTTCCATGCTTGAAATCTTGTACTTTTACGTACCTACTTCTGTTTCGTCCGTTAGGAAATCCTAAGAACGCGCGCAGCCGTACAAAGTGTAAAATAAAAACGCGGCTTTGTCTTAACGGCGCGATTTTGGCTCGCGGTACTGGTTCTATAGCTAAACGAACACGCTATGTCTATACTCTGCTTACTCGGCTCGCAACGATTGCTCGCAACGATTGCTCGCAACGATTGCTCGCGACGCGGATCGTCCAAGCGTGTCCTCGCGAGTCAAGTACACTAGTGTATTGTAATACTGACAGTAAAGAGATTACTATGCGACATTAAAATTAAGCTCGCTTCGCGAATCTGTCCGTGGACACCTAAAGTACAATTACGCGATTAACAGCTACGATATAATACGTATAAATCCACATTCTCACGCATCTCCTGTGCCCCCATCCCCCGCGCACTATATATATGTACATGGGAACGTGGCTGAAGGATGTTCCATTTTAATGTACAAACGAACTTATACGGGAAGAAACGTCGAAACCACGGATGGTGAAAGATAACGACGGGAACATATACATGTGCATAATATTAATAAAATAGGTGGAAGCGCCATGATCGTTTCGAGTTTACTCGAACATTTTTTAAACCTTTTTATAAACGGCTCCATCGTCCAAGATGAATTTATTTATAGAATAAAATGGATCACCCCGTATAGTTATAGGGAATATAATTAGTCTGGGAATAGGGTTAGAGAATTATTGTTTCCGTTAGGTTCGCAAATACAATTTTCTAAGTCTTTCGTATTCGCTCGATGCAATGATAATTCTTAAAACAGTATAAAAACTGTCGTCGTATACATATACACACACGCGCGTGTGTAATTATATGTATAGCGTGTCTGTGTGTATGCATGTATGTATGTATGTATGTATGTATCCTTTTCCCCTTGTACATGTATGTACAAAACAGTATAAAATACCTTACAAATGTATATTCGATAATCTCGCGGCGAGCATACATCGAGAAGAACGATTTTGCGCGTAAAGTCTGCTTAGAAAAGTGTGCCCGGTAAAGTAAACGCGTATCGTTGGTGCATTTTCGAATTCATTTCGAAAACCGGCCAATGTAAACGGTTATAAATAAAATATAGCTAACTAAATAAATAAGGGAGCACCGATACGTATGCAATATATACAAACAGAGAAAAGTAGCCCACGCAATGAGCGATTACGCAATACGAACAATATGAGATTCGCTTTAATTTCTCCTCATCGGACCTCGCTTCGAAACAATTCTGTCCGGAGCTGCTCTCTTTCGAACAAAACAGCAGCAGCAGCAGCAGCAGCAGCAGCAGCAGCAGCAGCATTTCCCTAACTCTGTAATAGATCGTCGTTGCACGATACACGAACGCGCCGTATAGACTGATTTTATGTAGGAACTGAGAAACACGCGCATCCAACGAACCTTTAAAAAAAAATTCATGTATTTTTGATCGAAAACGAAGAACGCTGGTAGAAAAGAACATTATCCCTGATACACTATTTCTTTACATACGAACAAAGAGTCATATTTTTTCAAACCTTTGGACAATTCTCGATCGATTTGCATTTTAACAAATAAAAATTTATGGAGAAACTATCGAGTATAGGAACTGGTAGTATGTTCTTGTTCGATAGAAACCGTCGTGTGCGCGGAGAAAATAAATTCGCAGAGGATTTATCACTACCGAGAGAGTCTCTATGGATCGTCTAAAAAGTCGACGTTCATTCCGAACAAAGGTTATTTAATCGTTGGCACCAACTTTGACGAAATTGCAAACACAGGACATCGAAAAAGTAATTTGTATCGCGGAGTTGGTCGAATCGTTAGCAATTGTCCCCGGTAAAGTAATAGTTATAGTTTCGAGGTAGGAAACTTGAAGCCGGTCGTTGTCGTGGAGCCACGTGTATCAGATTCGACGAGAAAGCGGTTTATACTACAAGTATTAAGACGTATTTCGTCGCACAGTGGCGGTTCGTCAATGTTTAAATAAACCATTGCTTTGGTCGTGGTTGGAGTTAGATAAGTGATAAATTGGTCGGAGGAGGGACGCGTTTAAAAACCGAACGAACGAAATAAAAAGAAAACTTTAAAAGATTTGAGTTTCTCGATAAAGTAGGCATAGCTCTATATTTAATAAAAAAAATCGGTCCTTCCCTCCCTTTATCTCGCAAAGTTGTGCAATTCAAGTAGAACGATTGATTGGTATTCGTGAAATTGTAAGGATCGAAGGAACGCTTGTCGATTTGAAGCAGGTAACTAAGCGAAAGAAAAGTGCTTGAGGTCGCAAACGCAGCGTTCTTCGACCATAATTCGGAAATAGAGTTTCTAGGTTCGAACGGTTGCGACGATACGACGCGCGACGGTTCGAATCGCACTCCGAGTCTCCACTTTCTACGGACGTTGGAATAGCACAGCTTAGACGGTCGGTTTGCGATACACACATATACATATATCGGTTGCTGAAAGTCAGAGATACATCAACGGACCAGAAAGTTGAACTTTTCGAACGAGATCCTTGCCTTTCCGAGTAGTTTGATCGTATCCTAATAAATTTAAAACCGCAGGTACCGAACGAACCGATCGTTACTCGGATCTTTCGTGAGTTTAAACGAGCACCTCGAGACTCTCGCGCGATCGAGCCTTTTGCTGTCCGCATTTTCCGTTTGCTTGGACGATCATAGCCACCGACTGGCAGCCGGTTTGGTTACCGATCGGTCGAACAGGCGGCATCGCCAATCGAAGCTGATACCAGAACTTTTGGTTATTCGAACCACCGAGGACGGTGGCGGTGCCGGTGCCGGTGCCGGTGGTGGTGCCGGTGGTGGTGCCGATGGTGGTGCCGATGGTGGTGCCGGTGGTGGTGCCGGTGGTGGTGCCGGTCCCGGTCCCGATCCCGATCCCGATCCCGCTCCCAATCCCGGTCCCACCGCCGCATTCCTCCCAGTTCAAGATCTTCAAACGATCCAAGGAAAGATCACCGGTCTCGCAACCTCGAGTCGATCGCTTCGCGATCGTCGTCACGTCCGGTATATCTTTCGTGACGATCACTATCGTTCGCGTTGCGAGCGACGACAGTTGTTTCAGAATCGCCCCGACGCTCGTCTCGTTCCAAACGTTTCCCAGGGAAGCGGGACTTAGGACGACGATGATTCTACGGCTCGTAGCAGCGTGCGGACCGATCTCCAAGCTCCCTGAAAGATAATACACGTTTTTTATTATTCGACGTTGCTTGCCTGCTTGCTTGCTTGCTTGCTTGCTTGCTTGCTTAATATTACTGGGAAATCGAATGTTTTTCTATCACTTGACATCAGTCTAATCGACAAATTACCATCAACGAGAACACGACACCGGTAGATTTCTGTCGATTCGCGACATTGGAGCGTTTCTGTTGGTCAGCAGTTGACGCAAGGTATAACGCGTATCGTTTAACGCGCTGCTCGGTATCGTTCGGCAGCTTGATCGTTGCTGACGCTTTGTGGCTTACGAGATCAAGTTGACCAGGTTGGTTTTCTCTGTGTCGATAAGCGACGCAATTTACTCGGAAATTTGTAAAAAACCCGCGAACGATACAAGCAGCCTCCATTGCACGAACGGTGGTGTCCACCTGCTGTTTCAATTAAACCATTTCAAAAGTTATAGTCAGATGGTTCGAGAATTGGTAAGAAGCAAAAAGAAAGAGTAGAACTGGCCACCGAGAGCGGGGAACCATGCTCGCTTTCAAAGTGCATACGTAAACTCGAAACCGCGGTTGCTGTCTTCGGGAGACAAACGAGACGACACTAGACGTCCGAGAAACCGACTAACTTTCTAATTCAATTTACAAACTTGCTCCCCGGGATGCCGTGATTCCGCGATCCTGAAGGATCGCCTTTATCTTCCGGTTACACCCTCCTTCCTAGCCCCGCTTGTGCAAACTCTTGTAATCGTAATCTTTCTCGTATTCGCATGCTCGGAATATCCATCCTCGCTGACTAAATATTCGCTATTATTTTATAAAGGCGCAATGATTTTGCGACCGACAATGCCGAAAAAGTAAAGAAATTTATGTATAGGTTGGTTACTTTGCATCAACGGATCGGGGTTGGGTTGGGTTGGGTTGGGTTGGGTTGGGCCGGACCGAACCGGACCGGGCAACGTGCGGTAATTTGCATTAATAAAATGAGGGTCGTCGGACGGGCAGCTCGCAACACATATACGGGCCCAATTTTCTCCTGGCAATTAGAAAGAAATTAGCGTCAGAATATTTGTCGGTGAGCAACCGTTATCACGGTGCGCGCGCGCGCGGGCTCCTAGCCAGCCCAACCGTTCATATTCATGAGATGCACAAGCGAGAGAGACGCGGCCTCGCGAAACTAGATGAAACTTTCGGCTACCTTTGTCCCGGCAATTGCGACCGCTTTCCTCTCTTTGTCGAGTAAATCCTATCGGCCGGTTTCCGCGCGAATCTCGCCTCAAAATACTATAGTTACACCTACCCCCGACCGAACAAACGTTTAATAGAAACCAAGGAAAGAGAACGTGTTTCTCTTATTAATAATTTTCATCTATTTTTATCAAATATTCAGTTGGTTGCACCATACCAATTTTTTTTTTTTTATCAACTCGCAAACTAGTTTTGGTTTTAAAAAACAATCCAACCGGCCGTAAAAACTACCTGTGGATGAGACAACGAGTATACGTATTTTTCATAGTTTGCTCGTTTCGCATCGTAACGGAATCTTGGAATTGTCAGTAGATCGAAGAAACATGTTCTATTCGACGGAGAAGCAGCCCCAGCCAGGAGCCAGCCAGGAGCCAGCCAGGAGCCAGCCAGGAGCCAGCCAGGAGCCAGCGAGTCGGTCGTTCGTACTCCCTCAAAACCACCATCTTACCCTTTTAACTTTGATCACCGCGCGATAGAGAAACTTGGCACTCGCGTATTTTAATTAAAACTGGCACTTACAATTTTGATTGAGATGGGAGAGCTCGAGCGGCGTGCACTTGTACCGATGCCTCGTCTCCAGGGTTGGTATCGTTATACCGATCGCCAGATTCGAGTCCTTTTCGTGGTAGCAGACCAGCGCGTCGCATTCCTTCCCATCTGCAAATTCGTGTTCATGCGAATGATGAATAAGCGAGGAATCATATAATATGTACGCGTCGTACATATTAATCGGGCTTTCGGAAGGTTACGGAATATTTTCTACGAATTTTTTGTCAGACTATTTTAGTCGGAAGTGTCGCTAGTGCGCAATATCGGCATAATCGAATTTACAAACGATCGGAATACAGACAACGAACCAAGGAAAAACGTTTCAAGACGAGACGCAAACAAGCTACAAGATTCGAGATAAAACGCGATAGAGGAACGCGCATCATCGACGCGGTAAACATTTCCTATTTACAAGAAAAGGGACCTTCGCCGTCCAAGGTTTCTACTTGCTATCATCGTGTTTACGGCACCGCCTCTTGACGCTCAGCATACCATGTAACACGAAACGATCGATATTTTTTATCTTTTTTCTTCTTACGTTTGTTATTATCGTGGTATCGAAGGTGACGAGCGTATATCGTTAAAAAATGACGTATCGGTGGTCTGTGCGTTGGTATCGTAAGGATAAAAGGATATCGGTTGCCGGATAGGAACGAGAGCGAGTGAAAGTGGCCGTTGGTTTGTTTGTGGAACGATTCGCTGTTAGCGCGAATAAGGAGAGTCGGTCACGAGCAAAAGGATGTCGTGCGAATCACCGTCCGGGATAATCCTCTGGCAAATTCCACGGCTCGCCGCTACCGAGTTGCTGCTTATCGTTTGTTCGCGGAACGTTGAGTCACGCGGCTCCTCGATCGCGATTACAACCGCGAGTAAGTACTTACTCATACTGTTACTCCTGTGAATTTCAAATCAACGATACAAGCTGCTAGAACGCGTCCACGCGAACAATCGGCTAATTAAACGAAAAATTAACGCCACGAATAAATACGTAGCACGTAATATGTATACCGTACCGTGCACGTACGATACTGCACAGAACCGCGGTCCGAGACTTTTAACCGCGTGATTATCGAATCTCGCGAATTGTGTGCGCTTCGGAACAAAAGAGCAACAAAATGGTGTTCTCTCCACCTCTATTTGCGCGCTCTGCTTGCTTGTCCTTTGCGGTCCATTGGAAACGAACCAATTTCTCCCGAGTAGAAAATCGAAAATCGAACGCGAGGCAAAGAGAACCCCGTATAAGTATATGCTGACCCAGACGAATAGGAAAATCGTTCGTTCGTTCGTTCGTTCGTTCGTTCGTTAGTATTACTTATTTACTTGTTTCTTCGATTTCTTGCTGTTTTTTAAACTTTTTATCTTCCTTTTATACACGACTTTTTTTGTCCGTTTACGAACAAGCTTTCGGGTTAGAAAAACTAATCGTTTAATTAATCGTAAAATGGTTAATAACTATCTTTCTGATAATATAATATGTATCATGTATTTGATCAGCGGAAGATTTACCTTACCAGTGGGATGAACGTTATTCGTGGCGTTTACCTAACGACCGAACGTTTCGAGTAACTAACTGTCCACCGTAATCGGTAGCAAAACGTTCTGCGCGTTGCGTCGCGCAGAGGAGAGCAGTTGCTTTTCAGCCGGTTAACAAAGAGAAAACGATCTCCGGTGAAACGTTAATGGGAGATGTTCACGGCGGTGGTTCTCCGAAGCACCGTAATCGCGGTAATTTTCTACTTTCCGTATACGGGGTACTCGCGTCGCGGCGATGGGCACAGCTCCATGGGCAAGATCTCGTTCGCGAGGCGGGACGTACATACATACTTACATAGAAGCTTCGGCTTACACGTGTAACTCGCGAGCCACGGCCACACGACACACCGATTTATCGTATCCGATTCCACCGATTTCCTGCGCTTATGCACCATCTTTACAACGGTTCGCGATGCTTCATTCTCGCACAAATTCCCACCGAGATACCAAATATCCAATTCGAAATCTAATACCAGGTTCGTTATAAAAACAATCGAACAACGATTTATCTGTGTAGCTAAAACCAACCAGTCGATGTCATCGCGCTTCCGTGGATTTTTATTTACGAACGAAACGTCAAGGGTAAAGTGAACGGGTATTGTCCCGGGTCTCCGACGGACAGACAGACTGAAATCTCAGTTTCGAAACTGGCAAGAAAGTCTGCTATCCCCGATATTTATTTAATTTTCTTAGCAGCGATTCGCCAGGCGAATCCTCTAATTATTTTCACCGGGAGCGTTTCTATCGGAAAGGGCCGTTAAACTGCCGCGTTTCGACGATGAAAAAAGCCAAACGATTTGTTCGTTTACGCGACTCGCGGTACTTTCCCGGTCTGGATTAAACCAAGATCAAGGGAACTAAATTTTCTGGCTACACGCTCTCCTGACGCTTTTCCTGAACGTTCGATATTCTATGTACATATTAGCGACGATTCCAAGGGAAATACGCGGGAGAGGCGATAATACGGTCGAGCGACATACTCGTGTTCGAAAGGATACGTAAAACTTGGACGAAATGGGAATTCGATGTGTCGATTTCGGTTGCGATTCGATGCCGAGCGCAGACTACGGTATCGTTAAAACGACCTTCCGAACAAATGGAACCTTCAAAATTGCAGGTTGCATCGATTTTACGATGCCTGGGGGATGATATCGTTTCTCTGGAAAAGGGTTTTACGAAATGAGATAATTTCGAATCGGAGGAAAAAGAGATAACAAAAAAAAAAAATATAGTACAAGATTTTTCGCTTCGTATACATACATACATATACGTGCTTACTGTATGCAATCGAAAGAGAACCGATAAACAACAGTCTGTTCGAAACGGCTCGAACTGAAGGAAAGTCGGTTGTCGATCGCGGTACACGCGAGTTCGAAGAAGCCTGATAATTCAGAGCGAGGATTAACCGGACGCAAAACCGTTTCCTTCCGATAATTACCATTCTGTTCGAGCGGGGCGAATTTGTCGCGGCATAGTAGCACCAAGGGTAGCCAGCAACGGGCGTAAAAGGCGCCGGCCGAGATCAGGAGAACCAGCACCAGCACGCCGAGCAGGAACGATTTTCTCCAGGATCCGTTTTGAAGTCCTAACGCGAACTGTGGTTCTACAACAAAACATGTATGTACCTATATTCTTGTCATTTGTTCCTCCTGTTGGTTCGCGGCTTGCTTCCTCGCAAATACTTTATACTTGGAAAATTAGTAGCTTGAGCGAGTGCGAGCCGGCAACGATTTGAAACACTGGCCTCGATTGGCCACTCACTCCTCGGTGATGATCGACGTTGCCACGGACCGCGTATGAATTGTCGTTAATCGGATGGAATTAATAGAGACAGAGTTCGATTTCTATCGCACATCGGGAAGACGCGCGGTTTCCTGGATGTGTGTGTGTTTGAAACGATGATACAGAGATAAATATTTTTCTCCAGTGAGATTTTCGCTTTTCGCTGGTCCCTAGCGAGAGATAACCGCCAGCAGACAGATTAAAAGGCTTAGTTACGTACCTTGTCGGTAAACGTGAGCAGGTAACGTGATCTCCTCGTCCACGCCGTTGCTAACTTCGCATTTGTACTCCCCGTAATCTTCCAAAGTTATGTCCTCGATCTCCAAATAAGAGCCGATGATCTGATTGTTTTCCCTGAAAATACATGACAAAACACTTATTTTACATTTATTTATTTTAACTAGATTTAAACGTGACACGCGAACCACAAAAAATAACGAAATATATTCAACGATCGTTGCCATTGTAATTGAAAGTAACGCTTTGATCGTTACAGCTTTCTTCGAGCTGAAATTTAGTTTGTACGGTTTCACGAACCAAGATTCCTCGACGAGAGCGAAAGGGAGATCTTGGCGACCGGCGATCGATCGGAAGGGGCGATCATAAATCAATCGATTCGAGCGGCCACGTTATTCGAGACTTTTTTCTTCCAACTGTCGCAGTATCACGGCTTTTATTAAGCTTATAGAGCCGTCAGCTGTCCACGAACGTTCAGGTACTACTTTTGTCGGTATCGCTCGACACGACGTCCTCTTTCTCGGAAAATAATTCCTGAAATTCGCATACGTCGGTTGGATCGTTTACTGTTGATCTTTCATTACAATTTACAGCGACCGGACCTAACGTGCAAAAACTTTTATTTCAAAAGGGTTGAAAACCGTTGTTCGTTGGAAGGAAACGAACGAATCGTTGGAAAAGCTTTGGAAACGTTACACGCAACGTTACACGCAACGTTACACGCAACGTTACGCGCGTTTCGCGTTATAGCCGTACGAAAAAAAGAAAAAAGGACGCGCATATTCGTTGAAAAATCGTAAACCGTTTACGAGACGAGCCGATATTTATATAACGACCTATGGGTAAAATTGCATCAGCCAGCCCTGGGCTGATTTTTTCAAGCGCGTCGATTATCTCGAATTGGATTTTCCAACGTTAAAGCGAATTCCGGCTCGCTCGATAAACGCGTCGAGCGAGCCGCTGATCGCGTTCGCGTCGTTAATATTCCATTTTCCCGGTCGCGTTTAATTGCACCCTCGAACGGGTTTAAATCTGACGCGGGGTTTGCGCGATCGTGCGTTTTCCATCGGCCTGTGCAACTTTGCGCGTTTTGTCTGCTCATTCGGTGCGAAACCGGAGCTCGCTCGAGTTATAGAAAAGTTCGCGGCCAACGAGCAACGGGAATTTTTCAAATGACCAATTTCACGTGACCCGACGCGATTCAATTCGCTGTGGCTTCTAATTAAAAGGCTCGCTCGCTAAAATTCCAAATAATCGCTAACGCGTATTACAATAGCAACTTTAAGCTCGTTACCCCGCGCTCGCTCCGATCGATTCTCCTTGGGTCCTTTTCCCACTTAAAATAACATTGCGTTAGCAGTGGAGAGTTTCGGAAAAATCTCCTTGCAAACAAGACCCTGGCTCAGACTTTATCCTCGTTAACGATTCTTCCGATCATTCATTTTACTCTTTTCGTTTACCCTTACTTCACTCTGCTTTTCGCAACTAAACACTAGCTAGTTATTACAAGTTCAGCCACTTACATTTACTCCCTTGGGATAACGTCCTTTATAAATATCGAATAAATTATAATACTTCACGTACGTATGGATAGCAGACGATGAGAGAATAAAGCACGTAAACAATTATAACGTAGGTACTGGGTTTGTTTAGAAATTTCGTACCGTCTTTAACCAAGAATTGCTTGAAAAGCCAAAGCTCCTCGATGATCGTCGTCGTTCGCACTATTATTTGTCGATGGAACTTTAAAAATCATAGCTTTGTACATGGTCGATTCGTAACAGTGAATCGATTCCTAGGAACAATTTGCCACCTGATTTTTTCCATTAGTCGGCCGTCAGTGGCCGTGATCGCGTGTATCTTCGGGATCAATCGACAGGAATGAAGATTGATGGGTCGCCTCTAACGGGAGTTGATAGAACAAGCTGTAAAGGTTCGAGGTACATATCTCGTCAATTGAAATAGTTTAATAAATCGACTTAACGGCTCGGAATTTATAGTGTTCGCAGAAACGCCCGTTACGATCACGGACGAGGATAGTGTTTAATCTTGTAAAAGATGACGAGAAATCGATCGAATCTTCTACTTTCGTTCGCCTCGCCTCGCCTCGCGTCCTATCGTTCGGCGCGATCAACATTACCCGGCCGGCCGGCCGGCCGGCCGATCCGGCTTAATTAAGAGAAACCTATAAACTCCGGTATTCTTCGTCGTAGCATCAAACTCGACATCGACGTTAAGTGCAGCGTTCGCGGACTCTTAATTAAACCTTGACAATATTTCATTCTCCTCGCATCTTTTTAGATGGAACCGCCCCGACAACCACCACACCTTTCCTATTGTCTGACGTTTAACACGTTTCTCGCGACGAACACGGTGGGGACTATTATTCACAAAACTTGGTAAACTTTAAACCATGGACCGATTAAAAAAATTATGGACCATGAATAGACTAGATTATAATTAAGTTATAAACACGGCAACGAACGATTATCTTTAAATTCCTTTACCGTTAGAACCTTGCGTATTTAAACGTATAAATTAAGATCCTTATTCCTGATTTTGTTTGCCGAAGTTGCGTGAAATTGAATTTACGTTCGTGCCAAGTTCATTTCGGAGCGTCAAGTACGAGCGAAGAAAATTATCGGTATGCCGTGAGAATTAGGTGCACGCGAAACGATAAAAATGCTCTTTTTCGAGAGAGCCAGAGCTGTTTGCAAATCGCTGGGATTTTCCAGGATATCGCCGAAACGATATTTTAAAGAAAATAACAGGTGGTGTACGTTTGGAAAAATCAAGCAGGTAATAGTTTTCATGGAGAAACTTATTATACGTAGTTTCCGAAAGGTACAGTCCGACGATCAATTTTCTACCGTTATTATTCCTCGTCTCGCGATTCTCGGAAAAATCTTTCTTTGCGTTTGATAGGAAGAAAAGGTGAAACGCGCCTAGAGATCGAACGTGCGTCAACACACCACCGTATTTGCGTGAAATCAACATTTTACGAGATAAAAGTTCAGGGAGCCAACCACCCGTCGTACATTCTTCCAGCCTTCTCCTCTCGAATTTTAGCTCCGTCGAGCGAGTTGTTAAAGATTCCGGATTTCTTGGAACGCGTCCAATGACTTCCGGTCCCCGGGTGCATTCGGCGGCTTCGTCTATCTATTTGCATGAAACAACCACGAGCCGAGCTGGGAATTTGCTGCGCAACCAGATACGTACTCGAAATGGTTCAATTGTTTCGTCTTGGGTAAACTTTTTATCCTCTTTCTCCGGTTTCCCGAGGGGCCGTTTTTCCTTTCTTTCGAATCGACCAAACGAGCAAACATCGAACAAGAAAATTTCCATTTCTCGATGTTGGAGCTTTTTAAACAGAATACTTGGTAGATACTTGATGCGCCCTCGACGCGGCCTCGATCGCATTCGTGGAACCGATCAAGTACGAGAAAATAAACATTTTCCGGTTTTGGAGGAAAAATGATTCACCTGTTCGTAAAGTGGGCCGAGCTGTTTTCCGCGGCATCGAGGACGAAACTTGGAACGCGGCGAAAAGGACAATGCGCGTGACGTAATTTCCTGTCGGACCGCGGTGCGGCGCGGTGCGGCGCGGTGCGGCGCGGTGCAGCGCGGCGTTTCGAGTCGGAATAATTAAACGGCACATTGTAATCCGCGATGACAGTCCCCGTTGTACCAGCCTCCGGCAGACAGGACTCGTCTGTCAAATTCCAACCGGCTGAATCAGGCCAGATTAAGTTTCTACCGGGGAGACAGTTTCGCGTGCGTAGGCATGGGTCAGACAGGATTAAGTGTCTGCGCAGCGATTTCTCTCTGTTCACGTGCACCGAGTCTCACCATTTCATACGCGTATGTATGTATGTATTCATTTTACGAACCTCTCCGAGAACACCAACAAACAACCTATCGCGATAAATTCGCACCGAGAAAGACCAAACGTACACGTACGCTATCGAGAAATATTTGGTTCGCGATCGATCAAACGTATCGAAAAGATAAAAATAAAATTCGTGCTCTCGTTTCGTTGTAAAATTTTAAACACTTTTAAATAAGGAAGCGAATAAAAAGTTTATGGAATGGGTGAGAATTTCGCCGAGGAATCGATCAGAACGTCCGATAATACGTTAATTTAATCGAGTCACAGTTATGCCATCACGGTCCATTCGGGCGCGGCGTATCCAAGCGCGCGGCGTTTCCATCGATCGCAAAATCGAATTTACGAAACGGTCAAATGTTAATTAATCAGTTTGTCGCGGGGCTATCGCAACGTTTCGTGAATTCCATGCGTTGAATCCATTTCGCGACCTCGCCTAGCGCTAAACGCGGTACGTTCCTCGAATTCTAACAAACTATGTAATTCGCGTCGCGTTTTCATCGATCGAACAACGCTGTTTTCCTTTTCTACGATACCGCATATTATCCTGCGTAACCTTTACGGACAATAATGTCAGCTTGATCGAACGTATGTATGTGTGTATGTCTGGAGATTGCGATCGTTGATCGTTACCTGTCCTGACCTTTTTTCTTTTCGCTTTTCGTTTTTCGTTTTTCGTTTTTCCTTTCTCTCCTCTTCGATACTTCTCTCCAGAAATATTCATCGTGGTTTCGGTCGTCAGCGAGCGTTCGAACGCGAGAAACTTCTCTTACCCGGGACTGGAACTTGGATTATAATCGGGGCAGAGAAGCAACGATAGAGGAACCGACGAGAACAACGCTCGATAAGACTATCGATATCCAATTATGTTACAGAGCGCTCGCGTGCTCGCGTGCGCGCCGGCGAACAATAGAACGATATCGAACAAAAGCTGGTTGGCAGGCAGCGCTCGTGAACAGTTCATTCAATGAACTTGGACGCGAACTTACCGTGAGAGAGGGTGGACCAGGAGCGGAATCGAGCCGATGCGATGGAGGGTTTCAAGGAAGCTGCGGACGCGCTGGGATAGAACGGGATAGACGCGATGAAATTTCCCAGAGAGCTCGTTTAAAACGAACCTTCTTCTGCCAGCAGTCATCTATCCCCGGTCCCCGTCCCGCCACCGTGTCCGGAAAAAGAGGGTCTTGAGAATGAAAAAAATGATACGTTTGCTGGAACGCGTAGTTCTTGG